AGGAACAACGCTGGCGGCCTCAAAGACGCTATTGACTTCTTGTTGAACCATCTAGTTATGCACGGCCTCGATACCAACACCGTCCGCGGCGCACTACCACGCCCCAAGTCTGACTCTTTTGAAGACTCTCTGCCCTTCTTTGAGTCCAAGCTCCTCCAGCGTGCTGAACCTGCTGTTGAAAGCACAGACTCCCCCACACGCTCTCACTTTGGTGGTGATGATGAGCCCCGCGGCATGCTGGACCGTCTCCGCAAGCCAGGCAGCATGTCGTCCTTTACGTCCATCTTCAACGGACGCAAGAGCACAAACTCACCCGGATCTCTCTTCAAGCATGCATCCAGCAACGCTTCCAAGGCATCCCTTGCCAGTCTCGAGTCCACCGGTAGCTACCGCAACCCGTGGAACGACAGCGGCATCAACCTCGCCGACGACGAGCACCACACTAACGGTTGGCCCATGCCAGCCCCTCGTTTCGAGTCAAAGTTTCCTTTTGGTTCCTCTTCCGCGGCGGCGCCTGGGGACGTGACCCCTAGGTACGACGCGCGGGGCTCCGTGGACAGCGGGCGCCCCAGTACTTCTCATTCTGCATCTGGATACCCGGCCCCTATTGGGCCTCCTCGTTAAATGATACACCACCTCGAACCCACACGTACACATTTATTTGATACCACTTACTGTAAACCGGCACTTTTAACGAAAAGAATACCCCCATCCCCCCGGCAACGCTTACGCTTACGCGCGTTGATTGTCTCTCTCTGTCTCTGTACGTGTGCGACGACAAAAGAAATATACCCCCAACTCTTAGTCCCAACGGCGCCTCCAATTATACGCAAAATCGTACCAGGCTTGTTTGATGTCTTGTCTGGGCCTTGCTGTGTTTTTGTCTTTATCGCGTTTGCTGTTCTCTGTTATGCTGCTGCTGTTTTTGTGGGAAATGTTCTTCTTGGTTCCGGCTTGGGGGCGCGTTTTTTTTGTGCTGTGCTGGTTTTTTTTTTGCTGTTGTTTTCAAGTGTCCAATGATTCCCCCATACTATATACCAATTCGGCGCAAAAAAGAAATATACCAATTTGCTTGCTGTTTACATAAGATATTATTGGTGTTTTATAGTCTTGAGTGAATATGTGTGTGTGTATAAGTGTGTGTATAAGTGAGAGAGAGAGAGAGAGAGAGAGTGTGTGTGTGTGTGTGTGTGTATGTGAGGAGGAATGTAGGTTGAGTACGGGGGCATGACATGGTAAGTTTACATCCTCCTACTAAAAGGAAGAGAGATGGAAGAAATCTCTACAATACCTCTACCTACTATAATAAGCTGTACACTTAGTAATTAATTACACATAATTACACATAACTATATCTAAGTAAGTATACGTACGTAGACTAGTAGACTATATAATAAGTATTCTACTTGTCTATGTATATATGTATATATATTGTTGAGAATATCTGAGTTCAGTCCAGGGTAGAAGGTGCTTGGGAGTCACATGATATGCTGGTGTGGCAGGCACTGCCCGGTGGGCAATAGCACCCACCATAACAGAGTGAGTCTGTGACACTCAACACGATAGTCAATATAATACGTTGCAGCCACCCCGCCTTGTCCCTCCTCCCACTCGGTTATCCATAGTAGTCATACTACTAGAGGGACCTTGTTCCAATAAAACTATATTTTATAATCTAAGGTGACTTTTTTTGTTTCTCTTCTCCCTTATCCTCCCTTTTCTCCCTTCTTCTCTCTTTCCTAATTCTTCTCCTTCTTCTTCTTCCCTCTTCCCTATTCTCCCGTACAAACACATATACTACCCCTCCCCCTCCTTCTCTTTATCTTCTTTCCTACCTAACAACACATGCACATATTCACCAACACCAACACCAACACTAATACACCTAGCACATATCATCTACGTACCCAAGAACAAGCCGGGGGTGAAGTAAAGCTTTTTACCACTACTACTACAACGAAAACAGAATCAAGAGTCAAGAATTCAATCGATTTCGCTACAACTGCGCGTACGTTTCGCCATGTAAGCCAGCCGACAAGAAATCCGCCTAGCTACCAATGTCATGCATGCTCAGCTTAGCTCACTCTTGTGAGTCTTTCTTCCCCAAGCCTTTGTGTGTGAAAAACAGCAACAATCATACATGAATTATACAAGCAAGCCATCATTCCTCCCACACCCACACCCCAACGACGAAACACACGCTACAACCCCCTAACCTAGCCAATCTACCGCTTAGTCTTCTTCTTCGCAGCAACAACCTTGAAGTTACTCGAATCAAGAGGCGACTGAAGCGCTTGTTGTTGCTGCTGCTGCGCAGCAGTATTAGCCCCACCCTTCTTGGCGACTTCAGACCAGCCACTAGAAGCGGCCTTGTTCTCAGCGGGGGAAGCCGTGTTGCGCTCATCGATGATACCCTTGTCGGCTAGCTTGCGGCGACGCAGGAACTCCTCTGCAAAGTGGCGGGAGTCGAGTGTGTTGGATGCCGAGTGGACTGATTCGGTGATGAGTTCGGCGTCGGCGGGGAAGCTGAGGAGGGAGGAGACAAAGTCTTCGGCTGTGGGATAGCGTTAGTGGGTTTGTATAGAGGTTAAAATAAGGACATCACCAACCATTGATATTCTTGCTGAGATCGTGGCGGAGCTCGTTGACAGCCCACTTGCGGAACTCCTCTTCGGCGTTGATTTTGCCAGGCTGTCCTCCGGTTGTGGTGCTGCGGGTGACGGTTGGCTTCTTGGCAAGCGGAGGCACGATGGTTGAGCTGGCCGAGCGAACAGTAGTAGGCCCAGGAGTAGGAGTGCCGCCTGGTGCCTTGACCTTGCCACTTGCGCCCACTGTGGTCCACGCAGTGCTACCAGCAGGCATAGCGGCAGTTAGCGTAGGAGTACTCTTACCAGCTAGGTCAGCATAGCGCTTGCCGCCTGAAGGTGCTGGAGTGGTGGCACCAAACGCGTTGGCCGCAGCAACAGCTTGAGCAGCAGCACGTTGCTTTCGCGCCTCCTCTTCCTTTTGGATTTGCGAAAGTGTCTTCTTAGAACTTGGGGTTGGCTGTGCTGCCACCTTTGCAGCGGGCTTGGTCCAAACTGAAGCACTGGCTGCGCTGGGTGTGACAGGTGAGGCGCCGCTTGCCCAGTTTGCGGTTGAAGGCAGGCCAGGCTGAACTGCTGGAGACTGGTTCTGAGCGAGCAGTTCCCTCTCAAAAGCCTCACGGCGAGCTGCCGCTGCAGCGGCTTCGCGCTCTGCTGCCTTCTTTGCTTCCATCTCTTGAATCTCTCGCAGCGAAGGCCCGTGAGATGCGTTGGCAGGCTCCTTGGCCCAGGGCGCGACCGAGACACTTGGAGTGTCATTGGCAGGAGTTCCAGCACCTGAGCGAGATTCTGTGTTGAGGTTCTCGGCAACAATAGGCTTCCTCTGAGCGGCTGGTGCAGGAAGAGGGGATTGCGATGGTGGTGGGAATGGGAAGATGGCAGGCTCCACCTTGTTCCATGCGGTCGCAGGTTGAGGTGAGTGCTTGGCTGAAGCAGCCTTCTGAACCTGCTCGGTGAGTGACAGCGACTCTTGGACACTGGGAGAAGTCTCCTCATGCTGCTCAGATTGGCCTTGTTGTTCGGCTTGTTCGGGTGATGCGGGCTCAGAGTGCTCCTGCGAGGGCTGAGCAGACGAACCCGAGGGCTTTCCAATGACTCCTTCTGGTGGTGGAGCAGCCTTGGAGGACTCCATGTCTGTCTGTACTCGCAAGTCGTGGAACTCAGTCAGACGGTCCCTGAATGTCTGTGCTGCCTGTAGATCTTCGGTGCTTCCAAAGCGAGCGTCGTGTTCTGCTTGTTCACGCTTCAAGCGAGCTCGATCGCCAATTGCAGAGGTCACATATTGGGCGTGTGCATCGTGGTCCTGCTGTTGTCCGAAAGCAAACGGAGGCTGGTTGTTACGGCCGAGATTCAAACGATCCATCATAGCAGGCATGTCTCGGTTGTTCAACATGTCCATGCCCGGACCAACGGGGCCCAGCCCTGGAACAGGACCAGATCTGAAGGTGTTATCCATGAGGCCTGAGACAGTCGATCCAGGCGCGGTGCCCTGAATAGGAGATGCCTGATACGCGGCCGGTGACGTAATGCTACCGAAGCTCTGTTGGCTTTGCAGGCTGTGCGCGCTGGAGTGGTGGTTTAGTTGATTGGGTATGACACCCATTTGGACTTGGCGATGAAGAGCCTGTTGCTGAGCAGCCAAATGTTCCTTTTGACGAGCCATGAGGTACTGCTCCTCCTGCTTCCTCCGCTCAAGAGCATTTTGCTGGTCCGCAGTAAGAGTAGTTCCAAAGCTAGGGAAACTGTTCGCAAACGGAGGCTGAGCACCTGGAGCAGTCGTCGTACTGGGAGCTGCACCCGCCCAAGAGTTGCCGGGCTGAGAGGTAGCAGGTCCGTGTGGGATACCAATCTGGGGGACCAGGAAAGGCTCGCGCGAGTTTCCAATGCGGCGGATCAGCTGGGCCAGGGGCTCATAGTCGGGCTCCTCCTGCTTCTTTACCAAAAGCTCGGGCGAAAAAAAACCAGCCTTGTACCAATCATGCATCTCAAGACCGGAAAATGGGCCTTGAACGTTGCCTGAGGGGTCACGATAAATCCACCTCATTCTGTCGGGCATGACCATCATACGCTGCTGGGGTACTGGAGGCTGACTAGAAGCCGGACTTCCGACACCGGGTGTGCCTGGCTGTGCGGTCCGGGTGGAGTTAAGGGCGGCCATGGAGAGTGAAGTGGTGGCGATGTTCTGATGCTGACCGGTCAGGTTATGGTCGTCATGGTGGGCATTAGAAAAGTCGTCAAAGAGGTTGCGATTCGGGCGGAAAGGACTGTCAGTTTCACGGTTTGGGGCCTGAGCACCGAAAGCATTCCTTCCAAAAGAGCCACTCATGCTGTGCTGTCGTTCGGAATGTTCGTCACCTGGAGGTCGGTTTGGGTCGTTGGAACGCATCTGCTCTTGCATCGAGGGTGGAAATAGCGAACCCAGCCTACTAGTGCGGCCGACTGGACCATGGGCGAACAGGGAGCTATTAGCCAGACCTGGTAGCGAAGGGGACTGGGCCTCTCCCACGGTCCCAAAGCCGTTATCAAACCCACCCAAACCACGTTCGCGGGTTGGGGTACCAATGCCATGGTGGCCGGTAGGCCATGCAGCAGAGCCTCCCAAGCCAGGTAGACCGCCGAGACCAGGCAAGGTAGGAAAAGCGCGGGCGGGACCGACACTGGACGTCTGGCTTCGATCGCTTGCAGCAGTCTCAAAAGGCACGGAAATTTTGCCAAGACCACCAAGGCCACCGAAAGCGTTGTGAATACTGGAGTGAATGGTTGGATCAAGAGGGAAACTCGTCATGCCAGGAAAATGCGCGTTTGGATCAGCTGAGTCGTCCGAGTCGTCCCCATGCTGGTCGCGCGCATGGTGCGGGCTCTGGTATGGATTTGTGTCGGTCGGGCTCATGGGTTCGTGGCCTCGGCGGAAGGGCGACTGATCAGTGAAATTATTCTTGCTGTACATGTCGCGAAGACCGGTGTCGGCCGTCATTCCAAAAGAAGATAATGCAGAGTCGTCGCGGTGGTCTGGGCGGTGGGGCGTAGCGAAATTGGCGAAGGCCTGTTGTGGGCGGGGCGGGCTAACGTCTTCGCCGCGCAGGGCAGCGCTGCCGGTTGCGTGGTCGTCGTGGTCGTCGTGGTCATCGTGGTCGTGGTCGTGGTCGTCGGGGAATGCATGTGTCTCGTTGCCCGTTGGTGGTTCCGGATCGCTTAACTTGGTTGAAGCCTTCTCTTTCGGCTGACTACGAGTCCCAAAGTCGTCGACACTAGATTTGGCCATGAGTCCCTTGAAGCGGCTCTCGCCACGCAAGCTACCGTAACCCGCCTTCTTTTCAGACATGGGTGCTGCAAAGCTTCCAAAGGCGCCAAAGCCGGTGGTGGTAAAGGGCGCCGTCGTGGTGCGCTTCAACGAGCCAAAGGCGCCTTGGTTCTCGGCTGCGGCCTTTTCCTTGTCGCGCTCGTCGCCAGGACGGCCCTCTACAGGCTCCTTTTCAGTCCGGCGACGTACCAGAGCGGGCGGCGGCGTCACGGCATTGCCCTCTTCTCGCGCAAACCGTGAGGTGGCGGGGGACGAGGGGAAGGGGTAGGCATCGCTGGTATCGCGACGGCGAGCACCCGGACGCGCCGACGTTGGCGATGAAAGGCCATAGGGCGTGGGCGGGCCCTGGGATACCGACGTCTTGCGCAACGAAAGACCCTCCTTGGCCGTGCCGTCCTTGATTGTATTCTGCGTGGGCGGCTTCAGCGGCGAGTTGACAGACGACATGAAGATCTGGGCGAGGTCACGCGTGTTAGCATACGTGGACATGTCGAAGAATAAGGGGGCTAGGTCCTACTTCTCTCTCGTCGTCGGTCATCTCCGTCAGGCTGAGCGGCAAGATGCCACCCTCTCTGTCCCAGCACTGGTCGACCCCGCTGCGCAGCTCCTTCGCGTCATCGTCTTTGCGTCCCCATGCGCCCGTGGCCATGTCCATGTAGACATGCTCGAGGCCGTGAGCGAGTTGGCCAGAATCCTGCTGTATCCTGAACAGCTGCGTCAGTTGATCGCGCGAATAGCGCGCCTCAAACCCGCTGCCATTGCGGCCCGTTTGCGCGTGGGGTGGGACGTATACGCCTTGGCTCATTGCCCAAGTCGAGTTTTGTGCCTGTGCCTGTGTCTGTGCCGGCGCCCCTTCTCGTGTGGTTGAGTGGTTCGTTGATCCGGACAGGGTGGTGGCGTGTGAGGGTCGGCGGAATGTTTGCGTGGCACCGTTGCTACGTCGAGGCCTGGGGGGTCGAGTGAGTTATTGATCTTGTACACCAACACCCCAAGTCACCTACCAGTCGGCGCCCGATTCTGCACGTGCTGCATTGGCCGTGTTTCCTGCCGCTGCCGCTGCCGCTGCCGAAGCGAATGAAGTGGGAGCCATTGCGTTTGGTGCAAGTGGAGGGAGAGTGTTGAGAAAAAAAAGTGTCAAAAACACAAAGGGTTTGGAGTGGGGATTTTGGGTCCGAGGTGCAATTTGAGATGATTAGATGGTTAGTCTTGCCGTGCTTGGAGAGCTGAACTAGGCGCAGGTTTAAGGGTTGTGTGCTGTGAACTGTGAACTGTGGGCTGGTCGTATTGCGGCGACAAAAGAAGAGGTCCAACCGCCGCCGACATAAGAAGAGGTTGGCTGCAGCCGAGACGTGGGCACGTGACCAGAGTATTACATAGCATGTACATAGCAAGGTTACGAGCTGCGATAGTTTTGCCCCGCATCGCTTCCTTGCATCTTCGCAGTTCGTCTTCATGTTTGCTTGAACCCATCTTGTGCACCACACTAAGTCGCCAGCTCCAATCGCACCTGCCTTGAACACACGCCGCTTTCATCTAGTGTCATTCTGCTCTATATCATAGCCCGCCATGCAGCCCCGCATCGTGAATACATGTCAAACTGCCCTTCATATCCGCCGACATGGCCTACCCGACCTTTCCGCACTTTCCACGTCGCGCCTTCCAATCCCACCTTGACCCGTACATAAACAGCGAGGATGCGAATCGCCACTTACAGTATCAGCGCAGCCATCTGTTCGCCGCACATGTCCAGCCATACGCTCAGCGGCCAACTGCGTCACCATTCGCAGGCCGCCACCCAACGCACAGCCACGTGATCGGGGGCTACCCGCAAGTCGGCCGTCCGTCGCCGCAGGCCATGAATATGGCTATGGCTATGGCTGCTATGGGTAGCAGAGGCGATATGAGCACTGTTCCAGATATACGACTAGGCATGGGCATGCCGTCAAACATGCCCTGTCACAACCCCTCTTCCTTTCTACCCTCTTCGCAAATGGCCTACCGCCAACCTGCGCTGTTCGATGTAGGAAGACGACATCCAGTCCGGGCACCGTTTCCTACTCGTCGTCAGCATCGCTGCCAGGCTTCGTCTTCAAGACATCAGCGCAGCCATTTCTTGCCCAGGCCCGACTATGCCTCCAACCTGTTTAGTGACGACGACGACGACTATGATAGCGATTGGGATGAGGTAGCTCTATACATGCAGCCAAGGCGGAGCCGACGAAGAATTAGAAATGTCGAGACGCCCAGATATGGCGCCCCCAGCAGGTCGAGATGCATGTACGACGGGTACGAGGATGAAGATGATGACGAGGAGAGTGATTTTGAAGAGTATTATCCATGGCGCAGGGAGCGACATTTGTATTAGGAATCCTTTGGATTAGGAGTGCATTTCTTGTCAGAGCAGAAAGTGTCATTACCGTAGGAGTCATAGAATGCAAGTTGATTGGAACTCATGGCAAGTACGCAGGCTTTAAGTCAGCATTGAACACGTGACGAGGTGCTTTTTTCACTCATGCATCATGTGACGATATGAGCCTGAAGGCAGCCATCGCAATCGTGGGTGGATCCGGCAGGGCGAAGCGATGAAAATGACGCCTCACGTCTCCACGCCCACGCCTCAACGGTCATTAATTATAGCTCTCCAATACGAAAGCAACGCTGACAAGGTCGGGCACTGCCTCGCATGTCAGGCACCAACGCCTGCACCGCCCCCTGTGGCTCGTGTTGTTTGCTTCAGTTGGGCAGGTCAAGGCACAACGGGTGCCATGTTTGCAACGGCAGTGCATTCCAAACGCGCCTCTTTGAACGCCTGTCGAGGTGTTGGTAGCGTGCGCAGGCCAAACGATCAAACGATGCTGGACGGGGGCGAAACTCATGTCGCTTACAAGCCCCCCGTGTCGCAAGCGCTGATCTCCCGGACCAGTGTCTCACATAGCAACGTCGCGGCGCGTCGCGATTGGTTCGCGCTTCGATTACGCGGATGTGGCTATGCCGGTTTCATAGCAGGAGCTTGATACATCACTCCCCTATCCTCCGCCGCGCCCACACCACTGCCATATGTACAAGTCGCCCTCACCATCCCAACACGCCCTTGAACCACACCCGAACTGCTGCTGCAAGGATAGACGGTCTCGCTGCACTGGCTCCCCCACTGCGACCTGATTGTGCGCACACCGCCAAAGACCGTTCCTCCCCTCACGCCGCCGCCATGTGGTTTCGCAAACGGGAAAACGATATTGAGATGTCGGGCATGATGGACCCCTCGCAGCAAAAGCAAAAGAAGAAGAGGGATAACGGCCCACCAGAAGAGACGGAATATGTAAAGTTTGACTGGAAGAGGTTCTTCCTCGCTCCCAAATACATACGTAAGCCTAAACCAAACTGCCTTCGCCCTGTTGAAACCTCAAACCTCAATTCTGACTCGCGCCCAGCATGGCATATACTTTTCATCATTATTGGTATCTTGACCGTCATCATCACAATAAAACACGACGAAGTTGTCGCCGTAAGTATCGCAGCTCTGCCCAATTAATGAGGACGCGTGGCTGACATGTCTGTGCAGAAACTACGGCCGTGGTCAGAAAAGGTGAGAGACCTGCCTGCGGGTTTCTTAATACCCGTCGCCATCTTGATCATCATTTCATTTCCTCCCCTCTTCGGACACGAGATCATCGCTCTGCTATGTGGTGTTGTCTACGGCCTTTGGATCGGTTTTGCCATTGTGGCCGCCGGCACCTTTATCGGCGAGGGTAAGCATCACCAATCTCACTCAGCGCTTGCCATGCTAATCCCAATCTCAGTCGGCACATGGTATGCCTTCAAGTACGCCTTCCGAAACAAGGCACTCAAACTGGAGCGAACAAACCTAAACTACGGCGCCATGGCCCGCCTTACCCGCGACGGCGGCTTCTTCATCGTGCTCATCATCCGTCTTTCCGCCATCCCCGCGCATTTCTCCACGGCCGTCTTCTCCACGTGCGACGTCAAATTCTGGCACTTCTTCGTCGCCACCTTCCTCTCCCTCCCGAAACAAATCTTCCTCGTCTACCTGGGTGTACTCCTCCTACAGGAAAGCAACGACGACGTGATCAAGACGGTCATGTTCGGCGCCATTTTCGTCATCACCATCGCCATGGGCGCCTGGATCTACATGAAGATGCGCACCGTGAAGAAGGTACTACTAGAAGAGCAGGAACTGCGACGCGTCAAAAAGGCCGAAGCCGTCGAACTCGTGCCCAATGTCGAAAGCGCATTCGAGAGGCGGTACGATGCCGACTCAGCGGAATGGACAGCCATGCAACCTACACCCGTGACGCGGCCGACGACGGAGCGAAGATACGACGAGGAAGGCGATTGGGCAATGGCGCCAACGCAACCGACGCGCATTATATAAAAAAGAAGAAAAGAGAAAACAAAAAGGTGTAATATTTTCGAGCTGGAACTAGAATCTTGTACATTCTTAATGGCATAATGATATAATGAACTTTTCAGGGGAACCACAACAACAACAACAACAATTTTTGGTGTACATATTTCTCTCGTCTGGTTACGGCGGTTGAATTCACGGTCGACACATAGTTAATGTTTTCTTCGTCTTCTTTTTCTTCCATTTTTTCTTCTTCCATTCTCCAGTGAGTTAGATCTACAACAGGAAGAAAGAGCTGAATTTGCGACTGCACCATTCAAATTTCTAAAGATTGGAAATAGGGACATTTTCATCTCACACAGCGTATACAGTACCTTTCCCCTCCCCCCAATTCATCCCACCCAATATGCACCAACACCACACTTGGTAAAATTTCTACACAAACCCCCACCACCACCCATCATCGCGCACGCTACTACCACAAAATCCACCAGTCTGGCCAGCGCTGATGACAGAAACTTTCCCAAAACCAACCTCGAAACGCATAATCCCACACACACTTAGCCGAACCCCCTGGGTCCTTTCATCTTCTAAACCCGCTTTGTGCGGGGCGGGCGCCTCGATACATGATCCATTTATAACTGAAATAACTCCACTCTATTTGATACATGTGTGTTATCGATATGAGACTTGTTATGTTTTTCTTATGGTTCCCTGGGCGGGTATGTGCCGGGATGCCGGGGACGGGATGGTAGGGCTGATATAGACGGGGATAGGGTCTAGACTGGGCTGGGCTGGACTCGCGAGGGGAGTGGGGGTTAGTAAGCGGTTGGGGTTAGTGTGTGGGAGGCGGGTAGGACTGGGTTGGATATGGATAGGTGAGGAAGAAGATGTGTAGGATGGTATGATAGGATTAAGGTGATGGGTTTGGGTTTTTTGTTTGAATGTATTGGATTAGTTGTGTTCGATGGAGGTGCTAAGGTTGTTCATGTTATACTATTAAACATGGCCAAGATAGGCTGTTGGCACTATATCTAGCCTCTATCTCTTTCCCCCTTATATAAACTCTACTACTCCGCAACCTGCCTACATCGTGTTTCGGCCCTCCTGTTGACTAATCATCTCTCATTCCAGACGCAGGATTGACGCGCTGTCACGTGACCGTGTCCCCGCGCTCGATCGTGTGGCGCAGATAGTTGCCTGCTGCCTGAAAGAATGCGACAGCCAACAACCAATGGCACACACTGAGATGACGGAACCTGGAACCATTCCACACGGGAAGAAAATAAGGGATGACCTTAAATCCTCGCCTTAGGTCTGGGAGTTCCATCCCTCATGACCTCACAACATGACCGAACCCGCACCACCACCACCGGAAGACATCGCCCATGACGACCTATGCCCCGTAAGTTAGAAACACAAGGCGATACCCATGTTCTCTCTTGCTCATTGATGTCTCACAGATATGTCAACTCCTCCTATTTACGCCCGTCCGAACGCAGTGCAACCACCTCCTCTGCGCATCATGCATGGCACAATGGGCCGACACATCCTCCACAACCCGCATCGAACACTCAAGCTTAGACGTGCATCTTGCAGACTTCGATCCCAACTACGATCCCACGTACGACCTCGAAGCCAACTGTCCCATGTGCAGAACGCACACCACGGCAGCGCCAGATGCGGCGCTAGCGGCTCACTTGGAGAAGGAGTATCCGGTTACTTATGCTGCGAGACGTGTGGAGGAGGCGGTTGAGAGGGGGGGTGTAGTTGGGCAGGATGGCGTCGAGGGCGTTATGATTCTCATTGGGAATACGCATAAGCTGGTTAGACATGCTGGTGATGCAAATGAGCATGACTGGACGTTTTTTGTGCGCATGTCGAGACAGGATATCATCAAGGAGGTGCGCGTGGAACTGGTAGGTTTTGAAATGTTTCCATTCATCAGTTGCTTCCCCGATCAAGCGCGGGCTGAGCATAAAAATCCCGGGTCAAGTTTGTCCCGCACAACACAACACAACACAACACTCGGGACGCTTGAGTTGAACTTCTCTCTCTCTCTCTCTCTCTCTCTCTCTCTCTCGGAACCCAGCTGTCCCCACACACGTCATGGTGCAGCCAGCCACACCCGGGCACTTGCCCCGTGTTTGCTGACGTTTCAAGGCGCACTGCACTCACTCTCCATGTGGCGGCGGAGCTGACATACAAGTAGCATCCTACATTCCCGCGCCCTCGTAAAATCCTGCGAAACCCGCCCTATGAGATTGAAGCAAGGGGATGGGGCACTTTTACCATCGCGGCCACGATCGTGTTGAAATCGCCGTATTGTTGGTTGGTCGGTGATACTGCGCAGGAGGGCCTGGATCTTACGTGGCTTTTGGACTTTGATGGGAGCGGGAAACAGGGGAGGGTAAGAGCCAAGGTTAGGAGGGTTGAGGAGGCCGTGGAGGCCGAACCGGGAGGTCGCAGATTGAGACTGAGACAGGGTCGTTTGAATGCGATGCCTGTACAAGAAGACGATGACGATGACGACATGGAAGAAGAAGAGGAAAGCTCAGACGAAGACGGCGACGATGAATATGACCAAAGACTCAGCGAATACTCCGAGACTCCACGTGAAAGAAGACGAAGATAGTTTGTTGGCAAGCACTGTCCATGTTCCATACACCAACACTTGCTCGATATAGCAACACAGTGGCAAACTTCCCCATATCAACGACCGCCCATCGGGGTTTAGAACACATGAAGTAATATCACATACCGGAATGTTCCAGGTTAGTATCCCATGCAATCGACTGGTGGTGTTGTAAGCATATCTTCCCACGCACCCGTTACAATGGAAACTCACCCAGCCACATGGGCAAGCGGGATAAACATCTGCCTAGACTTTGTGAGAGGGTTACTTCGAGTAGTAAATCCACCCCATGTTTTTGGCACCTGTGCGGTGGTGGGTGGCGTCTCAGTCCTATTTTAGTAACTGAGAGCCCGCGCCAGCGGGAACACGTATCGTCTTGGCAGACCATCAGCCCGCGCCAACGTGCAAAGCAAAACGAGCCTCGGCGAATTGCAACTTTACTCAGCCCCTCGGCCGCAGCATGTTGCGAGACCCAAAGCCCTGCCGGCTGAGCTTGTCACAAAGCTTGGCGGCGGAAGCTGGTTCGCTAATACATGCCGTCGCCCATGCTTGTTCAAAACGGCACGTGGTACCCTCTTTACATAACAACGATACCGATCGCTTTTGCCGATGCCACAGATTCCCATGGTGGTACAATTTAACGCTGACAGTGCAGCACACTTCTGCACAGCTCACCGCAGACGACGCCCTTTTCACCAACGGCTTTGGCTGGTTCAAGAGACACAAGCGCAAAAACATGTGCTTGTCCTGACGTGCATGCCGCCCTTTTCGGGCGACTTGCTTTTGTTCCCCGTGGTTGCCGTTTGGGCAGTGCAAGGCTTGTTTACTGAGTGGTGTAGTTTCTGGAGATGTGTGCGACTGTGGTCTTGACGGTCTCCGGATGTACAAGTCCAACCATAGATGCGGTGCTGAAGGCTCGATTAAGCTTCTTGTCTCCACGATCGTTGTACGGGAATGACTGTTTTTTGAGGCGGAGGCTCACTCGAAGACACGGGATTACATCTCTCAGTGTGCTTCATAGGCTTGTGCGTGTCTTGGCGTACATCATATTGTTGCGGAATGGCATCTTGTTGTCTCTACTTCCAGTATATATGCCCATATCAAATGCTTGCCCATGTTTAATCAACTTTCCAATTCATTCCTCACTATCGCTTTTCCAAGATACCGCGTTTCTTTCCTTTTTGTCATACATGGATCTCGCTCGTTATTTCAGTCTGCGCCGCAAAACCACAGACAGTCATGGCCATCACCACTCTGGACATGCCAAGGATCGAACTCCCTTACCTCTTCTTGCAAACCCAATAAACGAGGATGTACTCGAAGTCTTCTCAGGTAGCTCTGATTTGGAAAAGACGAATACCCATACTGGCACTCTCGACAGCTCAAATGATACCACAACACTGGCCGGCAACGGCAGGACGAGCCGTGGCAATATCATCATCTACAAACAACACACCGAAGCGAGTACCATTGAGTTATTCTACGATTTATTCTTCGTTGCAAATCTCGCCTACTTCACAGCCATGCACCAGCACACTGATGCAGAATGTACGCATCCTCATCACAGTCTCGTCAACATGACTAACAAACCACCAGCACTAATAAACTACCTCAAGCTCTTCACACTCATGTGGTTCAACTGGCTGAGCGTCACCCTCTTCGACGTACGCTTCAGCCTCGACAGCGTGTGGAGCCGCATCCACAAAGCCATTCAATTCGGCATCTTCACCGGTTTTGTGTACGCCGGCCCCGTCTTTGACAAGTACAACAACACAGGCGATGGGACGTCTTACCGCAACTTTGCCATTGTGCTGGTCATTGGGAGACTGGCGATTGCGAGTCAGTACCTTGTCGTCATGTGGCAGGGTCGCATGTTTCGCCAGACGGTGTTGCCGATTGGACTTAGCGCGGGCGTGCATGTTGGTGCGGCTGTTGGGTATGGTGTTACGATTGGTTTTCCACCGGGAGGGGCGACACGCTTGGTGGAACAGGTTCCTTGGTGAGTTTGACGGCGATGGGAAGGGTTGCGAAGCTAATTTTGAGCAGGGTTGTTATTTGTATTGCGGAGGGTCTTTGTATTTTTCTTATTGCTATGGTGTGGCGGATTATTAGCTTCAAGTACACGCATCTGGTGGAGCGGCTGCAGTTGCTTACGCTTATTATTATAGGCGAAGGGATTATTGGTATGGTGAAGAGCGTGTCTTGCATCACGAAGGGGCAATACAGCAATAACATGAGTGAGATTGGGACTGTTATAGCCGCCGTCATTCTACTTGTAAGTATTAGCAACTACGAGAAATCCAGGCCAACACTGACACTCTCCAGTACCTCGTATGGATGCTATACTTCGACCAACTCTCCCACGACCGCTTCGGCACCGTACGCCAGCAAATATGGGGCCTCCTCCACTACCCCCTGCATTCCGCAATCGTCCTCTGCGTCGAAGGCAACACCTCGCTGATCGTCTGGAACTCGGCCGTCCAAGCCCTAAAACATATCTGGAGCATGCAACCAGACGACTACGCCGATCCAGCCGACGGCTACTCCACCACAAGCGATTACCTGACCTACCTCACCCAAACCATGCATTCCGTCAACGCCACGTTCAAAGCAAAAACATGGAGTGCAACATACAACTGGACCACCAACTTTACCGCTATCCAAACTTACACGTCTACATATGGCTTCAGATCCGAGGAGTGGAATAACCGCACCGGAGATGTCGTACGCTACATGTTCGACCGCGCGCAGGTGTTCGCCTACGAAGCGCACGCTGATTCTCTTGCTAAGCTAAATGCCGTCACGTCAACGACATCAAGCCCCGGGGTTAAACTCACCGCTGTGTCGGACGTCTTCAACACTACAACCATGCAATTCTTCATCGGCGCTGGCTGCATGCTACTAGTGCTGGCGATGATGTACTGGTTCAACAAGGTGCACAAGACAAAGTATGAATTCGGGGAGATTATCAATAGAGTGATTGTAGGGTTTACGCTGGTTATATTGGGGATTTCGCTGGTGGTGACGGATAAGACGGAGGAGGGGTTTAAGTATGGGGGGAGTCAGTGGTTGATTCCTATTGTGGTGTTGTTTTTTACGCTGGGTGGGTTGCCTTTTTCCTCTTCTCTCCTCCCTATTTCGTCGTCAAGGTTTACGGTACTAACACCCCCACAGTTCTAACCCTCGATAACATCCTCCTAGCAATCGCACAATACACAACAAACCACCCCCGCCATCCCCGCCACCCCCGGAACAACCTGCATAAACACCACACCTCATGGGGAGCAGGCGCCACCACCACTCTCCACAACTACAGCAGCGACGACACTTACCCCAGTCGCACACCTAGCCCGGGTAACACACCTAGGTGGAACAACAACACTGTAAAGGGTATACGGCGTAGTAAAGCCCACGCATCAACTGCGTCTTTGGCGAAAGTCCACACGAGCAACTCGCCGCCTGAGCAATATAGACGCGGGAATGGGCATGCTACCCCACACCGAGCTTTCACAGCTAGCGATGTTACACTCCACGATTCCACCTCCATTTTCAATCCCAACACCTATACCTATACCCATCATACCGCTACATCTCCAGCAAACGCAAATACAACGGATTTCTCATACCAAAATACCCCCACAAGCGCGTTGGCCGATCACGGTCAACCGCGCGGTTTGGGCATCGGTATTGAAGTACAGGGACCCAGTACTAGTACACCCAGTCTTCACACTACAAATACTCAACATGATCAATCTGGGGGACGTGAAAGGTTGAAGGAAAAAGCCAGTTGTAAGAATTTGGGGGTAATGCGTGAGCCGAATTACGACACGAGGGCGAACGGGAGTGCTGGGGCGCAGAGGAGGACGAGGACGGTTAGCTTTGGGGATGAAGGGTGTGATGGGAGTGGTTGAGAGGTTGGGTGTGTGTCTATATGTGGATTATTTTGGGAGTTTTTTTTTAGCGTGGAGTTTGGGGGGGCTTTGGTGTTGGAGGGGGGGTGTTTTAGAGGATGGTGTATGGTGGCTGCGGCTGCGGCTGCGCGGGCTCGGCTTAAGGGCTTTGAGCCTGTGCTATGTTGTAAGGTAAGGTGGAGCGTGTTGTGTATTTATGTGGGGTTTGTATGATATATTAGATGGGGTGGCTGTTTGTTTAGTTTTAATTTGAAGCGTCGTGAGATTTTGGGGGAGGGGGTAGGGGGTGATGACTTCATTTAGCGTTTATAATAGTAATTCAATGTTGCGATATTCGAGTCTTCATACGAGATTAGATGGATAGAGTAAAAACAACAGACACGACATCTTCTTACCTTTCCAAATTCTCGCCCTTTATCCACAAAAACGATAAATCGACCTCAGTTCCGAAAGCTCACCCATAAATGTCCCCTTTGTCTATTACTATCATACTCCTGCTCCCTCTTCCGGCTTCGGTTCACAGACCACTAGAAACGGGTGCACTGCAGCTGAAACACCGCCCACGCGTTAGCAACAATTTCCACAGATAGAACACATTTAGGATGGCATAGCTTACCACTAACAAACAACCTCCCAGTCTTAACATCATGTCTCACAGTCGTACTCCCACTCAATACCTTGCCCTCCTTATCCTCAATCACCTTTTCCACCTTATGCCTCCCCTCTCCCTCCACCCCACGCTTCCTCACCCGCCAAATCGTAACCGGCGAAATCTCACCATACGGATCATCAAAGCCCTTCCCAGATTGTATCAGGTTAGGAAACCCAGCAGCGTACATGTCGCCGTTTGCATCGGGGGAGATGTTATCAAGTGGCATACCCACATTGACCGTTTCGACGAGCGTGAGTTTTTTGGTAGAAGGGTCGAGAGAGAAAATTCTGATTTTTCCGTCAATAGCGCTGGGGACGTGGAAGTGGGAGGTGGTGGGGTTGCGGGAGAGGCCGTTTGGGAATTTTAGGGCGACGGGGGGTGCGAGGTATTTCCAACTTTTCTGCATTAAGTTTGCGAAAGTGGATTCGTCGTGAGAGGCTGAAGGGCGGGTTTGGTCTCTTTCCTCATTGCCGGTGTAGGCGGCGTGGCAGGAGCCCGAGGCGGAGCAGTATGCAACATTTCCCCCACCGATGAAGTAGTCGAGTTTTCGGCGCTGGAGTTTGTTAACTTTTCAGATATGGTAGAAGAGAAGTTTAAGTTTTTTACTCACCCAACCCACCTTGACAGAGTGGTCGTTTGTTACGAGGAACGCGCCCGATTTATCACCTATTGCAGCAACGCGATTTGGCGTCCAGATATCAGGAGACAGGATTGTGCGGATATGCTGCATTTCGTCCCAACCTTTTTTCAACTCAAAAATCTCAATGGTCGAGTTTGCGCCGAGTTCTGAGGCGTCGATGATGGCTTGCGATGGTCCTACCGGCGGGCGCTGGTTCACAAAGTAGAAGCGTGTGGTGCCGTCATCTAGTATCTCAGCGTCGAAGCCGAGGAGATCTAGGTCGCGGTTTCCGGTCGCTCCTATGTAGTGGCCAACGGGTTTGATACCGCGGAAGTTGAAGAGGCCGTCTTCGCCGGGGTTGTCGATGTCGAGGGCGAGAAGTTCGGAGCCGCCTGGTCGTCTGCCTGTTACGTTTACGTCTTTCATACTAAAATATTTGTCAATCCAGATATTGAATCCCTTTACAGAGATAGAAGAAAAAAAACTAGAAGACTCACGCTTGATTCCAAGCCAATCTATCCTGCGTCCCCGCACACGCCGCATACAACGTCCTCCCCTCATTGTCCAACCAGATATCCTCACATGCCTCCAACCTCGGATGCACAATACGTCTGCAATCATAAGGAAACTCTTCAATACGTGAATAACGCGACCAACGCCAAAGGTGACTGTAAAAAGATCCTTGACAAAAACTTGGTAGAAAGAAGCGGCCCAATGCTACTGCAAGCGCAAGGACCACTGTTTTCGCAAGGATAGCCATGGTGTGAACAATTAGGGAAGAGAGATAGAGGAGGAAGATCAGAGAAAAGAGGGGAAGGCTGAGTTGATGTTTATTGTTGATACCTAATTGTACAGCTGCTGCTGCGCATGGTGGCTGTCAGCCATACCCCTGTCAGATCCTTCAGCGCGCAGCATGTGGGGGCGGAAACACCTTCTAGGCGTATGCTCTTCGGAGCCTTGCGGCTGACTTGCGGACATGTTAGCTAGTGAAGATGAAGATGATAGAGTATTCTGAGGTTGCGGGTTAATGTCGATGGTAGTACCGCCAGGGTTTGACGTCACCACATGGACCACTTAGTCACATCTCTGACTAGCAGCTTATTACCCATCCGATTACCCTCCTACCACGAGATATCCGCCGTTTCGCCAACACCGCCCAGCAACCTTTCCTAAAAAAATTCCTAAACAACTCCCCTAAATCAAGACTACCAAAATGACGAAATCAGCATCTTTCGATGTCATCGGCACATGTTTCGAATTCTCAGCCCCCATCCTCGCCATCGAAAAGCGACTAAGCCTTAAACTGCAAGCCAACTCCGTGGACCCAAAAACACTCTTCTTCTCCTGGTTCTACGCCGTCCAGCGCGACTTCACCTATATTTCCATGAACGGAGCCTACGTGCCTATTGCGCAAGTTCTCAAGTCGACGTTTCGACGCGCTTGTGCTGTCGTCGATGTACCAATGGACGCTATTACCGATGAAGATGTCGGCGCGGTCATGGAAGCGTTCAAAGCCATGGGACCTAGAGAGGGACTAAAGAGGTGTGTGGATGGGTTGAGGGAAGCAGGATGGGATGTCTATGGTGTGACTAATGGTGGATCGGAAACGTCGTTGGGGTATTACCACAGCGCTGGCATTGACCTGGATGCTGAGCATTTGGTCAGTTGTGACGCTATTCAGATTGCAAAACCTGATGTTAGGGTATATGAGAATGCGAACAAACACCTGACGAGTATGGGCCATGACGAGGCGAATGCAGAAAGATGGTTTGTGGCGGCGCATGCTTGGGATCTTATTGCTGCTCGTAAGGCGGGGTTCAAGACTGCGTATTTGGACTTTGAAGAGCATGATCCGTGTACGGATTGTTTTGGGGAGTTTGACTTGTATGCAACGAGCATGGATGATTTGTTGGCGAAGCTCAGACAACTAAAGTAGATGTATGATGTCGCTAGATCCTTGAGGGAATAAAAGAGTAGATAGAAAATTGGAACACAGACAAAGCGCATTAGACCTTGAGCAAGATGTTCTTGAATCACCGTGGCTTGTTCATGTGAATGTCCCTATAGTATTTGGTACATAAGATTCAGTACGGGTTTCAGTACGTGTATAGTCAGCTAATCGTAGACCTATAGCAATCGCAACTGCATTCGCACTACAGTAGCAGTCCCCCAAGTAAACCAGCGGCAATACTCAAAAGTCCGCCACCAACAGTATTAACAACAGCCGCACCCGTAGCAGCCGGCGTCGCCGCACTACCCGTCACACTCACGCTCGTGCTAGCAGGAAGCTGTGCCGAAGACATCGATCCAGCAGATCCACCCACCGCCGTCGAAGTAGCAGAACTCTTTCCATCCACCGTCGTACTAGCCTCAACCTTGAAATCCAACTTCTCCAACCCAGCCGTAACCACCAACCCAACCGTAGCCACATCGTCCGCATCATACGTCTCGGTACTGCTGCCCGGGAAATTTGCCTCCGTCCCACTCGCACTCTCCTTGCACACGGCGCTCTTGGCAATCACGCAGTCCATGGTTCCCGTGAAGTCGGCTTCGGGGCTCGGGTCACCCATGTTGATGTTGTAAGTGGAGGGCCCGAAGACGTAGACCTCGGCGGGGAAGAGACCGCAGTCGACGGTGGGGGCGGCGCACTTTAGGGATACGGTTGTGGCGGTGGGGTTGGCACTGATGATGGAGGCGGATATGTCGGTTAGAGGACTTCCGTTGGGTATGTCGCCGCCTATCCAGGGCATGAGGATGGTGGTTGAGGCTTTGTTTTGGGCGGCAGCTAGGCTGGCGAGGCTGGCGAGAAGAAGTATTGAATACATTGTTGATGATTTTTGGTTTTTGGTTTTGTGAGAATGGTATTAGGTCTGAATTATTATTGGCTTGTAGAATTGGGGTAAACGAGTGACTAGGATGGTGGAAAAGGAATGGATGCTCCCAATTTTCTCAAAAGACGAATCCTTCTATATATACAAAATTCTTCCGAGGCCGATTGCAGGACGTCGCTAGATAAAAGACTGTAACGCTTGTGGCGCTCAATAGGGGCTGTAGCCTAGAAGGTAGCGACCCTGCAAATTTCCTGCGTCCGCGGAGCTAGCGAATCAGGCCATTTTCAACAACTGCATTCGGAGAGCTTATGATCGCGGTTATGATATATTAAGTTTCTTTACTTCTGCAATGGAAAAATTATATCAAGCAATCGATTGATATTTGTATGACCGAATACGTCGCAGGCTGTTTTCTTTCTTCAGAAGCTAAGTTGACCATATCCGGAACGGGGGGCCTAAATCGCCTTCTTGAGGCACAATGCCGGGTCTCGGGGAGCGATGCACGTCATGCAAATCTACGCGAGGATTGCTTTTTTATACTATTCTTGGTTCAATGCAGCGATTATTCGAAAAATTATATCTACATTACTTAAAATGACAACTGCGCGGCATCCTCAGCCTGCGCATACAACGGACAAGCATAATCCGTCCCAGCCTGTGCTTTAACCGTCACACCAAAACTTCCATTCTCCCCTAACACACCCAGTTCCTTACCCCCGGCACTGCCCAACTTGGGCCATCCAACACCACTCGTGGGATCTTTTGCAAAACCCGCCCACGTCTTTTGCATGAATGCGCTGAGCTTGATTTGTTGCCTGGTTGCGACACCAAACCTGTTCGCGAGTGGGTATGTGCCGAAAACTTCTGAGATTTCGCTCGTGTGGTATGCGCCGGCATTGGGGAAGAGGGTGGTGGAGGGGAAAGATGGGGTGTAGAGGTAGCGGTAGGTGGTGCGGCCGGCCTGGGCGAGGTAGTCGGCTAGACGAGCGGTCGTGCAGGTGAAGACTAGATCGGTGAAAATTCTGTCTGCTACTTCGTAGGGGTCGGGGAAGCCTCGAGATGCGTACAAAGCGATTAGACCTTCGCGGTCTTTCTGTGATGTAATGCTGTACATGTTGAATACGGCAGTGAGCGTGCTGTTGCTAGCAGCACCATCTTTAAGACCAGCCGCTTCGAGGAAGATGCGTGCTTCGTTGAGGTCACTTCCAAACATCGTGGGCACGTTGGCGAACTTTCCCGACTGAATATTGGGGCGGACATCTTGAGTGGATGTGCCGTCGCCGTCCACTGGTGGGAATGCGAGGGAATTCGGTTCAATGTAGGCTTTGATGTCCTCAGCAGGGACTTTGCGAAGACATGCCATGTCTGTGCAGGAGAATTGCTTCAAGACCTGCAGGTAGTTGGCCGTGCCGTTGCCTGTAAGTACAGCATTCTGAGATTGTAGTATTGCTGATGAAAAGGGTAAAGGGCTCGGTGGGTTAGCTAGCAACTGCTTAACTGATTCACCGCCTGCTGACTCTCCAAATATCATCACTCGACTGGGATCGCCGCCAAATCTCTCAATGTTGTCTTGAACCCACTGTAAGGCGAATCGTTGGTCCAAGAAACCGGCGTTCTGCGACCCGAATGGGATCTCAGGGGAGTTGGAAAACCCGAATACTAGGAATTACGTCAGAAGGCCATTTTTACAGAACTAATGAGGCAACGGGACTGACTGTTTGTTCGGTAATTGGTAGTGACCACAATAACATCCTCGTTGATAGCGAGAGAGGTTCCGTCGTAACTTGCAAGCCCAGCACTACCAAAGGCCAAATTGCCCTGCTGTTGTAAGTAGGAATCTGAGTTATCGGACTAGTATTACTTACACCATAGAGCCAAAACATGACTGCCTTTTTGCTCTTCGATGTTAAGTGGGGAGGCGTGTACACATTGAGGTACAAGCAGTCCTCACTTTCTTCTGGGGCTTCGTTCGCAGGAGGGTTATTGAAGTACTCCATACTTTTCCGACGAGCTTCGCCGGTGCCCATGAATTGCTGGATACATGCTGGCTTGACAGCCTGTGCGATCAAGGGAGACGACCATGCTGGTGCTGCTTTGGGTGGCGAGAAGCGCTCCGGAGGCGATTGCGCAAAGGGAACTCCCAGGTAAACGTTTGCCGCCTTTAAGGAAAGTTGGTTCGAGGGTCTTGCCGTGGTTCCTACAATGATGCCAGAATCAAGCGTCACTGTTGGCCCGAATATGACTTTAGTCGGCGCTGAGATGGCTTGAGGAATTAAAGAACATAATGCGAGAAAGTTCACAATCGACGAGGAGGCGTGGAGAACCATTGGAATTATATTAAGGTTACTGTCGGATGAGATGGATTATCTTGCCCTGGAGGTGAATAGCAGCAGATCTTAGGGTCTACGGGTGCTTAAATGGGCTGCCAGAAGTATGACGGCTTTGTTTTGTCTGGACTTTTTCCTGGGCGCGATCATGCATCTTCTGCAGGTAATATTGACGCCATCCGCACGTGGCATACCAGCTTGCAAGTTAATTGAACTTGATCGCTTCTGGGAAGTCAGAGAAAGCATCGTATAGCTAAAGTGCCGAAAACGGAAAAGCCCTATGGGGTTCATATGCGGTCTAAACTTGAGACTGGGAGCAATGCCAAGCACTGATTGATATGCTTCAGCTGTCCCTCCTAAGTCGGTAAGAAGTCGGATGCGTTTACTGCATCTAGGTGCGGGGAATTCGCGGTAGTGTTGCTTATGCTACTGCCTTTACTCCATACCGTCTCTGCACCGTGACGTGCGGGCCGCCCCATAGACACTAAGAAGATGAGGTTGTAGTATACTCGGATACATATGAGCCACAGGGTTGCCAAAAATACTATGTGCGTCGGATGGTGGAGTTAGGCTTCCCATTTCGATCGGCTAGTGAACGTGCCTCGGTCCGCCATATGCAGATCCGCAAATCCTGCCTTCCAGACCTTGAATTGCATCAAGGTTAATTAGAGGTGGCTTGAACATCGCAATCTCATCTGAAAGAGTGGGATGATAGTCCAGCTTGGTTTTTCTGCTTGCAAGGTTGTCATATCGAAAATGCTTTTCTTGGTTTGGTAGGTAACTGCAACCGCGTCTATCCCAGCCCTAACCGATCTCAGAATTCAGTATGCAGGCTGATTTTGATGGGGTCCTCCAGCTCAGACTACATAGTACAATGACACAGCAAATTCGCGATCGCAGGAGAACCCCTTTTGGCGGCAGCCCCGCAAGAAAAACAACCCGTGCGCAAAAAGCATGGGTCGCGAGCTGGGTAGAAGGGGCGGAAACGGACCCATACACTGCGATCAAAGTACCCAGCCAAGATAGGCTGCTCGTTTGCAAAATTTTACTGCGCAGACGGCAGTTACAAAGCTGTGTAGAAGGAGTTGGTGGGTGTTGGTGAGATGACAAGGGGACAGAGACGCTAATGGATTACGTCATCAAAGATCGCAGAGTAGTGTCATGGACATCAAAACGGCAAGGACTATGAAACTGAATAAATTCATTTCACTTCAAACTCCCTCTGCCTTCCCAAAACCACCCTCTCCCCTGAAGATAGAGCTAGCGTAACCACATCACCACCCGCCCTATCGCCAACAACACGCCTCAGCTCTTCACAGTTTCTATCGTCTCCACCCCAAACTCCTTCTCCTTCTCCGGATCCAATCCCTTATTTCTCGCCACAATCTCCTCCTGCGTCAAGATTGGCTTCCCACGAATCTGCGCCCAAACCGCCTTGTGCATCGGCTTAAGGAACAGAGCGTCCATCTCCTCAAGCGTAATGCCTTTAGTTTCTGGCACAAAGAAGAAACTCCACACGCCCATGGCACACAAGATGGATGCAAAGAAGAAGTATGCGCCGTATCCCAGATCGGAAATCATGTAGGGTGTGCTGCGCGCGATGATGAAGGATCCAAGCCATGTGTCGGCCGTAGTGAGCGAAACACAGAGCATACGGATGTCAAGCGGGAAGATTTCTGATGCATACGTCCACGTAATTCCCTGCCATGTTGCGCAGATGATGAATGCGTTGATGTATACACATACCATGGCTAGGTATCCCCAAGCATCGCGGGAAATATCGCCTCGCGCGGCGGCGGCAGCTGGGTCCGCCCTCATCACGTAACCACCAATGTACCACATGGGTATGCATCCGAGAGCAGCGCCCCAGATTAGACCCTTGCGGCGGCCCACCTTTTCGACCACGACGAAGGTAAAGGTAAACATTCCGAGCGTCTTTGCGATGCCGTAGAAACCTGTGGAGAAGAGTTTGAGTGATGTGCCTGAGATGCCGAGGGTTTCAAAGATACGCGGCGCGTAGTAGGTAATGATGTTCACGCCAGTGAAGGATTGCAAGAACATGAGAGCGAGACCGATGGCCATGCGATTCCGGACGCCTGCTTGGAACAGCTTCATGAATTGTGCTTTTTTGCTCTGGCGATTGGCGCTACGTTCTTCGACCTGTGCGCGAATCTCGCCCATTTCACGCTGGATGTAGGCATGTGAGACGTCAAGACCCCTGATCTTGCTCAGTATGCATTCGGCACCCTCAAAGTTATCCTTTTTGGCAAGGAAACGGGGTGATTCGGGACACCATGCAACACCGAGCAGTAGCAGTACACCGGGGATGAGTTGGATGGCGAGAGGTACGATCCATTGGGCTTGTCTTTCGACGTCAATGGTGCGGTCCGCTGCATAGTTGATCCAAAAACCTAGCATGCCTCCACCTTGAGATGCAATTTCAAAAATACCAACAAGTCGGCCTCGAATGGATGGTGGAGCGGTTTCAGAAATGTAGACAGGTACGACCATGGATGAAGCGCCGATGCCTAGGCCAGCTACAGCACGCCCGCCGTAGATCATATTTAGGCTGCCTTGCGAAGCTGTCATGAGCGTTCCACCGAGGAGAAAGATGGAAGATGCTATGATCATGGTTTTTTTCCGGCCGATGCGTTCGGCAAAAGGGAAGGCAAGAAGCGCGCCGAAAAAGCACCCAGCCTAAACAGTGTTAGAGTCGAATTTGTAGAAGAGATAGGTTCATGGTGATTTGCTAACCTGAAAAGTGGAAACAATGTTGCCCTGAATAGTATCCCGGCTACTTTTGGGGATGTCGTTCATGCCAAAGTCCCGGATGAATGAGTTGAGTGCCATGGTGCCACCAATAACAGCTGTGTCGTAGCCCACTGTGTTGAACATCAGTATGAAGCCTTTTGATAATATTCTATTGATACATACTGGCCAGCGCAGACATGGATGCAATGAGGGCAATAAGATGGATGCGCCAATTGCGGACCTCTGGGGGGTCCAGAGTCCCCGAAGCATGGGTGCTGAAGCAACCCATCTTGAATGACCAGTCGCCTCTTACGATGAAAAGTTAAGAAAACTGAGGATCTTAGGTGTGGGCCTCTTGAGGGGTTCGAAGTAGGGAATTCAATCAGCACCAGGTACTTTGATAGTGTTTACAAACGAGATTTTGGAAAATTCCGCCTGTTCAGATTGAAGGAGTCACGGGAACACGACCAGCGGAGATAAAGCACAGCTCCGATGATATTGGGTCTTTCAATTGTGGAACAGCGTGAGCTTTTATCCTCATTCGCCTCGTCTCGAAGCAGTCGTCGCCAAGCCAAGCACCACCGCGATACTTACCCCAGCATCGCTACAGTCATACCCCGCGGGGTAAACGCACAAGAGCGATATCAGTCCATATTTTTCAACAAAAGCCGCTTTTCCATGAAGTTTGTGGGGTATTCGACGAATCTTGGGAAGGGTCTGCTTGGCGGTTGGCCATAGGGAAGCCTCGCCAAGGGTTGGCATCTGGGGTTGTGAGAAACCATAGGCGGAACGTGCGTGAGGGTTGCTTGTAACACACTTGGCAACGTCGGTCGTTGTTTTGACAGCGTTGCTGGTATCCTGAGCTTGGTAGCTGGGAATGCTGCAAACTAGCACACGTGCGGGGTAAAGCGGGTCGGTCGAAGCCGTAAATGGGATGCCTGTTCAGACGACGTCTTGTACAATGTGACGTTCGTTCTACACTGCAACCAACCGGTCGACGTCGCGCGCTAAGACTACACTCTGGAACTAGCAAAGAATGTGTAGCTGCGCAAACCGTTAGTCTAGAGATACCAATCCATCCATTTGTAGGGCACAGGTGTCAAAAAGCTCATGAATCAGCATCCCGAGGTTTTGCCAGCCTCCTACGCTTTGGTTACCAAGCTAATCCTTCAGGGTCATGGGTTCCGCCCCAAGGTATACCAAGCCACGGCACGGCACTCTCATCACACACACGGCTATACTGTGGCGATAATAAAACGGGACCGGAATGGCAGCACAGTATTCAGCCATTGGCGGCGAGGCGCGCATCAGCTCGGTAGTGGCGGCTGCAAAGACGTGCTAAAGTCTTGTATCAGACATGTTCTGCATCGTACGAGCCTGCCGACGTTGGCAATGTGACTGCGAACAGCCTCGGTCAGCAGCGCGGCCGAGAGCACCGTTGACCTTTCCACATACGGATATCCGTGGCCCAAGACCGGAGATGTCTATGATATTGCGAAGAGGCTGTTGCTAATATGAGGACATCAGAAGCTTGGTATATGGGTATGCGGCAACGAGTATGTTACTAGTCGTTACAAGTATCCTAGATATGCGCAGAAGCCCCGTCTGGATAGCGGTAAAGGGAGAAATAATTGAAATGTTGAATTGGCAGAATGGATAGTTAAGATGGAAGCATGAGTTGACACGGTGAACATAATGGTGAGCGAGATGGAAGGTCGGGGGCGGGGAGGAACTAGCTTAGTAAGCCGAACTTGGCGGGGTAGTGGCAGGTCCAAGCTCAATACACTTGCTTGGCACACGACAGCTCCTCTTCCACCACCTTTACCTTGATGCTAGCTAGAGGTGCGATCCGATCGCTTCAACTACACATGACGAGCGCATACTATCTCGCGAAGCCCATATCAACCCGCGCGACCTCAAAGATGACTTCTATATCACTCGACGAGATGCCTACCTTGACGCTGCTGTACAAGCTGAAGAAGATCAAGGTGCCGGATGCCAAGGCCTCTTATGAACCTTCGGCCGCGCTCAACGATAAGATCAGTGTAATACGCCAAGATATCACTACTCTCGCCGTCGACGCCATCGTCAATGCTGCCAATAATTCCCTGCTTGGTGGAGGGGGGGTCGATGGAGCCATTCATCGCGCAGCCGGACCCAAGCTGGTAGAGGAATGCGAAACGCTCGATGGCTGTGATACAGGCAGTGCCAAGATTACCGACGGCTACGAACTACCTAGCAAGAAGGTCATTCATTCCGTGGGGCCAATATATTGGAAGGAAGGCGCTTCTAGGTCCGCGGAGCTACTATCAGGCTGCTACCGCACAAGCTTGGAGTTGGCCGTTGACAACGAATGCAGGAGCATTGCCTTTTCTGCTCTAAGTACCGGTGTATATGGTTACCCGAGTGGCGAGGCTAGCTTAGTCGCACTGGAGACTGTTCGCAAATTCCTCCAAGAGGAAGGCAAAGCGGAGAAGCTTGACCGCGTCATCTTCTGCAACTTTCTCCCCAAAGATGAAGATGCTTACTTCAAAAACATCCCGTGAGTACTTTGCGATCGCTTCACATGCACAGCTAACCCGACCATAGTAACTTCTTCCCGCCTGTTACCTACGAGGCTGATGCGCAAGCGGACCAATCTACCGAGCCTTCCGAACTCGCTTCACAGCTTCCAGACGCCCCGAAGACAGAGCCGAATGACTCCGAGACCAGCCAGCAGCCGCTTTCAAAGAAGCAGAAGACCACTGAGTCGGATGACTTTGTACTTGTAGAGAAGGAAGACGTCAAAGAAGATGACCCTAAGTAAGGGCTGTGATATTTGCCTGGTGCTGCTCCACCATCTACACGTCATACCCTGAATATTCGAGAGAGCTTGTAGTGGCACAAGCGAGGGGATGTAACAGGCGTTTTTGGTCATTTGGCGTACAAGAAATATACCCTGGATAGGAATGCTCTAAGCTCTTCTGCTTCACTCTTCACCTACTGCCACAACGTGACAAGATCCAACAAAGCCTACGACTACAATGTCTTCACATCACATATCATCAGTCAATTTTTTTTCTCAAAAAGCAGTATAGTATTTGACAAAGTACAAGATAACAAGCATAGCCTATTACGTTCTACAACATAACAATCTGTAAACTCAAGCGCAATGTGCAAACAAAGACACCAGAAGACAAGAAATCGAGAAAGACAATCCAGTTCAACAAACTCCAGGGGTGCTGAGAGTCCATGAACAAAGAAAGAGAAACCAAACAAAGCAGTGATCAGCACTACTCAAATCTGTGTAAACCCCTTTCCACGCGTCCACGTCACATAAGGACCATACTCAGAATCATCACGAGGCGCTGCAATATGCACACCCTTGGGCTGGCGAACTGTGCGCGCAGCCGCCGCGACATTCAACCCAGCGTCGCGCTCCACACAAGGCACAACCTTGATGCGAGTACGACGACGACAACAAGAGCCGCTCGAACCGCGCCGATACCAGTGTATAACACAACCCAAAAGACCAAAAGCCAACAAGCTACCGATGATGATAGCAACAAGCACACCGCCCTCAAGCGAGGTCGACTTCTCCAGAGAAGTCAACCCGGAAGGCGAAGGGGTAGTCCACGCAGGGTCGGTCCAGGCCGGCGTCCAAGGGAGCAAAGTCTCTGCTTGACGGGCAGCGAGGGTGGCGGTGGCCATGACTGTAACCTTGGTTGGTTCCAAAGTTGAAGTCGAAAGGGGAGTGGCGTGGGTGGAGGTGGTGAGCAAAAGGGCGAGAACGATAGAGATCGTAGACATGCTGGATGAGGCTGAGGAAGGCGTGATTGAATAGTCTGGTGTTATTGAGGAGTTTTTGGTGTTTGCTTTATGGATGAAGAAGAGGGCATTGTGAATAGAGTGTATGGATCATTGTGTGTGAGTGAGTGCTGTTGTGCGTATATGATGATGGTGTTGTTGATGGGCAGTGTTGATGTACAGTGTTATACATTGAATATCGAAGATTCTGAGTCAGTTTTTTTGTTGTGATGTATAGCGTGTCTGAGTAAGCAAGCACAATTGAATCACGGCGTGTCTCACATTAGAAAGATGCGAGTTATGATTCATTGGAAACTATCAGGTGTATGTATACATGAAGTACGAAGATATTCGGGTGTGCTTCACTGTTCTCCCTAGAGAGATTCTGGTCAAGCTTGAAAATCTTGCTGGGTGACGATATCGAAGTCGTTCCCTGTCAATCTGAGATATCTGTATCTACAAGAGCTTCTCGATTAGTTTGATACGTTTCATGTATGATTGCGAGTTTAACTTTCTACTAACGTCCATCCCTGCGTAACGGGACACCCTACGTGGCGGGACGCCATAGACAATTCCCAACACAACAAACGCAACAACGGGCTAGAGGCATACAAACTCTCGGGATAGCAGCCTTAAACTACAAAATCTATCTGTTCTAAAGGTCTTTTAGAAATAGGTTCTGCTTACTATGTAATACAACAATTTAGCATAAGCATTATGCGACTACCTCGCTTTGGCAGGTGTAAGGGTCTCACATAGGTCAGGTATTTGAAACTGTGTTGAATTACAAAGTAATTGCAGTGCAGAGCTTGTAAGAAGCTCTGCGCGGAATATATCTAAGTGGGGGTGTGCATGGGCCACCAAACAGGTGGCTCGTGCGCGAACATCAAAACAACGCTAAGGCATCTGGCAGGTGGCCTGTGCGGGGCAACGGCCCAAAACCATCACACGTCCCCCCCCGAAAAGCGCTCAAAGTTCCGACTGAGGCGCAAACTTATTTGAGTACTTGCTATCTAGTAGCTGGAGCAGGGCTATAGCGAGCTGTCCGTCGTCATCGTAGTCATGAAATGTGGCGTGTGGTCCTGGTCGGCCAGGGTTGCGGCTGTGAAAGTCCTGGACTGACTCTTTACAGCTGCGCAGGTTATGGTAGGGCTGCCATGGCTCTGACTGATCGTCGCCCACCCATTCCACCTTTTATTGCAGCAATCCACGCTCACCTGTGTGAGGGTCGACGAGATTGCGTCGTATGCGAGAGTCTAGGACTTGGGAGACCACGTATTCTGTGACTCCATCGTTGCCAAGGTGGACTTCGGGGGGAGCGGCATCGCCTGGACGAGGTTGTCCGGGTAAGGCGTCGTCCTCGTACGGTTGTAGGAGCCATGGGTGGAAGGCTGGGAAGATAGCTTTAAGCTGAGGAGGGAGGTCTAGTTCGTAGGCCATGTTGTCAATGACCCGAGTGATCTGGTATGGCCCTATATTCTTGTGGTCTAGTGACTTAACTGGTCTTTCGGTTTTAATGTGGCGGGCGTTCAGCATCACCCAGTCACCCACGTCGAACCGTGGTGCTGGGTATCGGTTCGCGTCTGCGAACTCTTTCATCTTGTCTTGAGCCCATAGGATTTGTTGTCGCAGGAAGGTGCGCGTTGTGTCAATGCGCTGGGCGAGGGCATCAGCGTTCCGTTGCTGTTGGGCGATAGTAGGGTGGTTGTTAAGGGGGCGCAGAAGGTGAGCGGGCTCCAGTCCAGATCGCGGTTGGCGTCCCTTTGTGGCGAGGAACGGAGATAACCCGGTAGCTGTGCTAATGGCCGAATTGGCTTCAAATTCTGCTAAAGGCAATAGCTGGGCCCAATCCGTCTGTAGGTAGTTAACGTACGCCCTTAGGTATTGTTTGAGATCGGCGTTTGCATTCTCGGTCTGACCGTCGGTTTCTGGGTGATGGGAGGTAGAGAGTTTAGGGTGCGTTCCCACCTGGGCACACAGGCGATTCCAGAAATGTGACGTGAATTGGCGGCCCCGATCTGATACAAGAGTCCTTGGGTATCCTTCCTCTTTCCAGATGTATTCCATAAACTTGTCAACGACTGTAGGCACCTCTAGGTTTTCCATTGCAATGAACTTCTTCATTTTTGATAGACGGTCAACCACGACCATGATGTGTTGGTAAGAGTGACCACACCAGGTTGACTTAGGCAGTGGGGTGATGAAGTCGATGGATATGTCATCCCAGTACTGAGTAGGGACAGGCAGCGGGTGAAGCAAACTATGTTTGGCGGTGCGGTTAACCTTAGAGCGTTTACAGGTTAGACAGTTGTTGGTAAAGCGCGCAATTGTGTTCGTCATGCCCTGCCAGTAGTACCACTGGCTTACTTGTTGGTACGTCGTCGTGCGACCTCCGTGGCCGCCCGGTAGGCTATTGTGGATGTGTGCGATAATCCTCGTACGGAGTTTCTCACTGAAGGGGACGACAAGACGCCCGTTGCCAATAAATAGCTTGCCGTCGTTGCTGGCTTCTAGGTCGGCTAGTTCCATCCGAATGCCTTCCGCTATGAGGTAATGTGGGATACGGCGGTCATTAGAAGCGAGGGCTGTCTTTACATCGCGTAGGCGTGGGTCGCTAAGGCAGAGTTCTAAGAGGACATCGTCGAGGGGGCGATCGTCGGCTCCTTCGATGTCGTCATATGGGTCATGGGTGCCCTTTAGGGAGAAGCGGGCTAACCCTACCAACATTGTAGAGGTGGACAGTGAAGCGCCTTCGCCGCTCTCTTGCATCAGTGTAAGGACGGAGCCTAGGTCGCAAGGATTGTCGCCCAGGCATACTCCGGCGAGGCGTACAGCGGCATAGCTGCCGCCCCATCGGTTGGAACCTAGGATAGTCTGGCATTGGTGCTGGACCCGGTCGTCCGTGACTGAGTCTGGCAAGTCTCCTGTCCGGCGGGTAAGGCTGTCGGGTTTAGTACCCTGTTTACCAGGGCGGTATTGTATGCGAAAGTCGAATTCCTCTAGGAACTCAGCCCAGCGGGCTTGTCGACGATTGAGATTGCGTTTAGAGCGGAAGTATTCGAGCCCGCGATGGTCTGTTAGCACTTCTACCGCCTCAGGAACTCCTGCGAGTTCTGGCCTCCATTCCTCGAAGGCGCGGACTATAGCGAGGAGCTCCTTGTCGTATATCTCGTAATTACACTCTGTGGGCGACATCTTCTTTGAGAGATAGGCGACCGGCCGGACTGATCCGTCTGGCTGGACCTGGGAGAGCACTGCTGCGTACACATAGTCAGACGCGTCAGTTTCTACGATAGTCTTTAGGTCGGGGTCAAAGTGGGCGAGCACCACGTCGCTACAGAAGGCGACTTTCAGTGCGAGGAAGGAGCGCTCAGCTTCTTTAGTCATCTTGAATAGCTTAGGGTCGCCCTTAGTGAGATGCGTTAAAGGTTTTGCGATATCCGAGAAACCGCGTATAAATCGGCGGTAGAAGTTAGCAAAACCTAAAAAGGCTTGTACATCTTTTAGAGATTGCGGAAGCTTCCAGTCCTGAATGGCGCTGACTTTGTCTGGGTCCATTTTAATACCGTCGGCGGTGATGATAAGCCCGAGGAATTTAACCTCTGTCGTTATGAAGTCGGATTTAAGAATGTCCATAGGCAATCCGGCGTCTGCGAGCCGAGAGACTACCTGTACTAGGTGCTTCTCGTGTTGATCAAGAGTCTCACTAAAGATAATTACATCGTCTAAGTAAGCCATGCAGAACTCATCGAGATATTCGTGTAGGACGTCGTTAATGTATGCTTGGAAGGTTCCTGGGCTATTGCACATGCCGAAGGGCATAACAGTGTATTGGTACAGTCCGTAGGGCGTGATGAAGGCGGAGAGGTGTTTATGTTCTTCTTTGATGCGTATCTTATTGAATGCGGCGATCACATCTACCTTGGAGAAGTATCGCGATTTTGAGAGCTTAGCAAGCATGTCCCGGATTAGTGGTGGGGCATTTCGGTTCTTGACAGTGTGGGCGTTCAGACCGCGATAGTCGACGCATATGCGGATGCCTCCACCTGGCTTGCGCACAACAAGAAGGGGTGCGGCCCAGGCGGAAGTGCTGCGTTCGACGTGTCCTTTCTTGATCATGTCGTCCACATAGAGTTTCACCGCTCGGGCTTCATCTCGGGACATTGGGCGTAGACGCTGGAATGACGGCTTAGGCGGCTGGCCAGTATCGTCGAGCTTAAGTTCGATTTTGTGGTCAAGGTTACCCCGGAGCTCTGGGAGCTCGTCCGCTTCTTTAGGGTCAAAACCTTGGTACAAGGGATGAAGGACCTTAGGTAATCGCTTGAGGATTTCTTGTCTCGTCATGTGCGGACGTTCCATCTTGTCGCGGAACTTCTCGTAATCCTCTGGGAGCACTTTGGCTCCTGCAGCACGTAGGTGCTGAGTGTCCTCCCATTCCTTGTCGGATAGCTCGGCGATGCGGCCGATTTCATCGTAAGAGGTGATACAAATGTCCTGGTCGTGACAGACGGCTGCCGCGGCTACGCGGCTAGAGATGAAAGCTACATCAATTGGTGGGGGTGCTTTGGGGTGACGAGCAACCTTCCGGCAAGGGTCAGGGACCTGGGGGAGAGGTTGCTTGTGGTGCCGGCTGCTCTGAGTGTGACAGGGTCGGTGGTCGTGGATACAGTTAATTAGACAGTGCTCCGAGTCAAAACTTAGAGACATGTCTTTCCAGTTAACTCGGGGTTCATGGGTTTGGAACCAGGGCGTTCCTAGGATCATTTGGACACCAGAGAGTTTGGTGACATAGGCTAGGACATCTTCGGTGTGGGTGCCAAATGTGACAGTTACCCGGGCCATATGGGTAACGCCTGCCACTAGAGAGCCATCAGCGAGTTCTAGAGTAGCAGGCTGGGAGAGAGAGATAAGGTCGTATTTATGTGCGCGGGCATGAGAAGAATCAATGAAGAGAGAAGCACAACCAGTGTCACCCATGATTTCGACGTGTTGAGGAGAGGAGCGATGAGAAGAAATGATTCCTTTAAAGACTAATTGCTGGCCTACTAGAGGCTGATACTTATCACCGCGTATAGCGGCGGCAGCAATGGCCGAGACGGTGATCCGGGATCCAGTCTGGCTCTGTTGTTTTAGAGCCTTGACACGGTTCGCAATTGCCTGGAGTGTTGGATCCGGGTCGGACTCATCGTCAGAGCTGACTTCTACGGTAGGGGAAAGGGCTAGGGTCAAAGAATCGTCGACAAAGCGGTTAGGATGTAACTCCTCTTCTTCTTCGCTGTCTTCGACAGAAGGGGCAGGGGGAATTAGGGGATGTGCTGGTGGTTGTACTGGGGGTGGCTTCTCATGCCGGGGAGGTCCCTGGGGGCGACTGTCGCCAGGGACTAAGCATTTTCCGAAGGTTGGGGAGAGGTGGAGGTGACGCTAGCTGCGGCGCCCTTGACCTTAGGGCGGGCTGGCTCTCCGACGGGTACGCCATTGTTAGCAATAGCCTTCTCAAGAGCGTCCTGAACTTCGGGGTACGAGTCAAAAGAGGCGACCGGCTCCTTAGAGCAGTAACCTCCTGTAGCCTTAAAGGTGTGATTCTTCTTAAGACAGTTGAAACAACGATTTAAGTGACGGAGGACCTTGACCTGGATGTCAGAGCGGCCACGGGGGCCAGATCCCGAGCTGGATCCACCGTTCCGGGGTCCGTTAGAGGGAGTGGACTTATTGCCGCCTGCTCCGCCGCCCCCGCCACCTTCTAAACTCTGATTTCCTCTACGGTTGCCAGTTGTAGTGGCTCGTTGTGGGTTGGACTGTTCGAGGAGACGAAGGGTTTGACAGAAGTCAAGGTAGGTGAGGCTAGACTCTAAGACTTTCATGGCGGTCATGTCGCGCCACCATACAGGCAGCCGGTTGCGCATGAACTGGATCTTGAGGGTGTCGGGCCAACGAAGGGCCGAGGTGCCGACGTTAAAGCGGGCGATGTACTCACCCATAGACTCTGTGGGCTTCATAGTGGAATTCAAGCTCTCATACCAGGACTGAGCTTCGATGCTAGTGTTCAGCGACTTATAGACAGAGTCAAGGATAGACCAAGCCTCGTTACTGTGCGCGAACTCAGCTCCAGGTTCGAGGTACCCATGCTGGAGGCATCCGAAAGCCTTGTCCTTGGTCTTCTGGCGGATGTAGCTAAGCTTCTTGGTTTCTGAGGCGAACTCGTAGGGATAATCAGCAAACCAATCGGTGACGTCCATCTTCCACTTAAGATAGTCGGCGGAAGTGGTGCCATTACCGGAGAATGCCTCAGGTTCAGGTTTCTTTGGGCGGGGGTGGCGACGGTGATCGTACTCTTCGTCATCGGAGTATCGATTTTTCGTAGACTGAGTGCCGCGCTGACCTTGGCGAGAGAGGGCTGGTAGAGGACTGTTGGCATCGTCGCCTTCAGAGTCCGATGAGTCTGGGGGGGAAGGGCCTGTGTGGCCGCGCCTGGCTGACCTAGAAACCTTGGCTGTAGCCTGTTTTAGCTTAGCCTGGAGTTTCTTCATATTCTCTAATGTGGCTCGGTGGGCGTCGTGCTCCTGTCGGTATTTGTCCTTGTAGGCCGATTTGCGGGCGGCGAGGTTCTCTGCCTGGTTCTGGGCCTGCTGGTAGTCTTCGTGAGCGCTTCCGCGCGCGTCGCGGAGCTCCTCGGTTAGGCGTGCAACTGTAGCGACGGAAGACTGAAGTTGGTCCTGGCAGTTCTTAAGGACAGCCTGTGTGTCAGCGACGTCGCCCTTGTAACCCTCAAGGATATCTTGGGTTTCTTGATCCTTGCTGTGGAGGTTTTCGATGACCTTGTCTCTTGCGAGAAGCTGTTCGCCTAACTGATCGCTGTGTTTGCGCTCGTTGCCGAGGTCTCTCCACATATCGCGGATTTGATCATATAGTCTGTTCAACGCCTTAGACTGGTCATTATTCGTATGTCCGATAGGCGTAGTGTGGAGAGAATCTTTGCGTTGGGGGTTGCCTTGCGCATCGTTCTCCCAGAGGTCGAAGGTGGTCACGTTATCCTCGCGAGGAATGACGTAGGACGTAGAGGGCTGTCGCTCGAATTGCGCACGCTCGTAGGCGTGTTCAACTAGGGGTTCTAAGGACGCGGCGGGTCCAGGTGAGAGCCACGCTTCAGAAAAATAATCAGTGTCGACTTCGGCCTGAGACTGGCGCGAGTAGCGGCGTTGCTCGCTCATTAATGGGTAGCGTATGCCCAATGGGCTGCTCAAGTCGGCGCGATGGTCTATGAAGGCCACGCCCTTCTTGCGCGTAGTGATTGTGGTCGGAAGCTCGTCGTCAGAGTCGTCGGAAATGTCCAGTGGCTGCTGTACACTATCGGTGTGGCCGAGGGAGGGGTAGCGTCCTGGAATGCGTACGTCCCTGTCGAAGAGGTTGTTCTTGCCGTGTGCTCGGGGGAGGCCGCTGGCGCGACGCTCTAGGGTTTCTTTGGTCTGGGAGGTGGGCGCCGTCGCACGCGAAGGCTGTTCGGGGGCTGAGTTCTCGTGGCTCTCGTCCATACGGGAGCGGTTCATGGTTGCGGCCGTCTCTCGCATGAAACGAGGGACGCCGAGGGCAGGATTTCGGTGTTCTGTAGTGCTGGGGCGAGTATCGCGCGATGTCTCCTCAGTGAGGAGTTCCACGATCTCGGGATGAGGGGAGTCACGAGCCCCCAGAGGGTTCATGACTTGTTCGACGGGGCGCTTCTCGTGAGGCGCACCGTTGGGCCAGTGTTCGGTGACTGCAATTACGTGTAAGGGTCTCACATAGGTCAGGTATTTGAAACTGTGTTGAATTACAAAGTAATTGCAGTGCAGAGCTTGTAAGAAGCTCTGCGCGGAATATATCTAAGTGGGGGTGTGCATGGGCCACCAAACAGGTGGCTCGTGCGCGAACATCAAAACAACGCTAAGGCATCTGGCAGGTGGCCTGTGCGGGGCAACGGCCCAAAACCATCACAGCAGGCAGTAGGTGCGTCGAAAGCTCGTGCATCTTATCGAAAGCCTGTCAACTTACAGCTTGTTATATTAATATCCTATCCTAAGCACTGCGCTTAAGCCTAAGAGGTTATCGTGCTTCTATGCTAGTTCTAAGTCCGCCTGCTAGAAGTGCTAGACAAAGAGGACCCGCACACCTAGCTTAAAGCAGCTTAGGTGTAATCTATTGCTACTAACGCTAGGTCTGTGGCTGTGTGGCTGTGTAGCTGTGTGGCTGTACGGCGCTTTTGCCAAGCGCTTTAGAACACCGGAAAATCGGCTCGGATTGGGAGCAGGGCTGTTTTAGGTTTGAAGGCCCTGGCGTATAGCTCATGTCAACGAACACACCTAGCAGCGAAACAGCAACCGCAATCAGCCTCCAACACAGCCATCATGCAATTTCGAGACATAGTGCAACCCACGACTATAACTAACGCGAAAGCTTCCATCCTATAGAGATAAACCGTCGCGCTGCTCTACAGCTCCGCAGACCCGCCGTCGATCCCTTGTCCGACCTACCACGTTCTGGTGCTGTTGAGCACATCGCGACCGATACATATACTAAGCCGTAGCCGAATACTGCTTTAGCTCGTAGAAGGGGGCATAACGAGTTAGGAGGCGTCTGAGAATAATGTGTATAGGACTTACACAGCGGGCATAACAAAGGACAGACTAGCTGGCATGATACAGAATACTAAGATCCGAGCCTAGGCTTCCGCAAGCGGAGTGCATGTTGCAGAGGTTCAGCCTTGCACTGCCATATTTAGTACCCTGTGCCTTGAGCTCTGCTACCCCGCTATGCTTCTGCCTTGTGCTGTTCAGCTCATAACGTACTTCCCAACCAACACTTCTAGAAACATAAGTAATGCTTATCTTTACTAGTTAAAAGCTTGATGTATATCCTCATCCCACCTTAAACTCTCTAGCCAATAACGAAGTATTCTAGTGTAGGGTACAGATGGACCTCTTTGTCTACGAACCGATCGATCTCGAGCGTCCCGCGTTTCGACTTTTACAGCTGCTACGAGGCAATGAGCCAGTCATCGAGTGTAGGCTGTACCAAGTCTACCTCGATGGCACCGACACGGTTCCGTATGATGCTTTATCATATACTTGGGGAGGTACGGACAAGACGTCTACCGTAACAGTGAACGAGAAGACGTTTGATGTCACCGAGAATCTACATTCAGCCCTTCAGCATCTTCGCTCGGAGGATACAGACAGGGTACTCTGGGTTGATGCTATTTGTATCGATCAGAGCAACGAACTAGAGCGGGGACACCAGGTCCAAAGAATGTGCAAGATCTATTCGCAAGCGGAGGAGGTGCTTGTCTGGTTAGGCCAAGCAACAGATGAAACCGATCTCTTGATGGACTCTCTTCGGCGACTAGAAGAGTGCAGTTTGATTTATGAGCACAGAAGCTGGGATCTCATGCAGTGGAACACATTCTGGCTGTTAGTTCCTCAAGATCAAACTTCCAAGCCGCGTGAAGGCTTAGAGCTGCTCTTAAAGAGACCTTGGTTCAGCAGAGTCTGGATCTTGCAGGAGATAGCCAATGCAAAGAAGGCGCGTATTTGGTGCGGCACCAAATTTGTTCGGGCACGTACTTTTGCTCTGGCACCGTCACTCATAGGCGTCAAACCAGAACGGCATTGTCAAGCTGTCTTGGACATCATGCCTGGGCGCTTGCGGGAGGAGACCTGGTGGAGCGAGAGCAGAGACTTGTACAATCTTTTGCTGAAGTTCAGCGAAAGCAAAGCGAGCGACCCACGAGACAAAGTATACGCCTTATTAGGCATATCTTCAGATGCTTGCGACACAGATAGCCTCCGTCCAGACTATACGAAAGACCTTCAGGGGGTCATACGCGATACTTCTTCATTCTTGTTCGGACCGTCAGATGTTTCCTACGAGACGATGCCAAAGCTTCTAGAGGATCTTACTTTACGAAATTCTACATCTTTCTTGGAACTTATTCGAACGTCTGATGTGAGGGCAGTTGAAAGTTTCCTAATGCGGCGAGGACTCGAGGTACCACTGTCGGAAGATATGGTCAAGAGCGCAGTGGGAAACGAAGAAAGTGGGACAGATATCACAAGTCTTTTTCTTCAGAAACGTAGAAGCGAAGTCAAGGTAACGGAAGGAGTAATCAAAGCCGCCGTAGGGAACGCAGGGCATAGGAGAGCTATTATGATTCTTCTTCTTCAACAACGCGAAACCGAGGTTTTAGTAACAAAGGAGATTATCAACGCACTTCAGACGATATCTAAGAGAGACCACGAGGCGGTGGTACAGCTGCTTCTTAACAAGAGCGCTGACGTTGACTCGCTGGTTGAATACTACGGAAAAGTACTCCATGCAGCTTCGTACAGTGGCAACGAGGTGGCGGTGCGGGTACTGCTCAATCATGGCGCCGATCTCAACGCGCGGGGTGGCGAGCACGGCAACGCACTCCAGGCGGCTTCATCTGGAGGCCACGAGGTAGTGGTGCAGGTGCTGCTCGACGAGGGCGCCGACGTCAATGCCCAGGATGAATACCACGGTAACGCACTTCAGGCGGCTTCAGCTAGAGGCCACGAGGTAGTAGTGAAGCTGCTGCTCGACGAGGGCGCCTACATCAACGCGCAGGGTGGACACTATGGCAACGCACTCCAGGCGGCTTCATCTAGAGGCCACGAGGCCGTAGTAAAGATGCTGCTTAATAAGGGCGCCGACGTTAATGCAGAGGGTGAATACTACGGCAACGCACTCTATGCGGCTTCAGCTGCAGGCTACGTGGCGGTGGTAAAGCTGCTGCTTGACAAGAGCGCGGGTGCCGACGCACAGAGTAGATACCATGACAACGCACTTCAGGCGGCTTTAGCTGGAGGTCACGAGGTAGTGGTGAAGCTGCTGCTCAATAAGGGTGCCAACATCATCGCTCAGGGTAAGGGCCACGGTAAAGCACTCTATGCGGCGTCAGTCAGAGGCGACCAGGCGGTGGTGAAGCTGCTGCTCAACAAGGGAGCTGCCATCAACGCACGGAGTTGGACCTACGACAAAGCACTCTATGCGGCTTCATCTAGAGGCCACGAGACGGTGGTAAAGCTGCTGCTCGACAAGGGTGCTGACGCCAATGCTCACGATGAATACTACGGTAACACGCTCTATGCAGCTTCAGCTGCAGGCCACAAGGTAGTGGTGAAGCTGCTACTCGACAGGGGCGCTGACGTTAACGCGTACGATGGAAATTACCGTAACGCACTCCAGGCGGCTTCGTACGAGGGCAACGAGATAATAGTAGACTTACTGCTAGATTGTGGCGACGACGCCAGTGTGAAGAGTGAGTATCATGGCAACGCACTTTATGCGGCTTCAGCTGGAGGCTACGAAGAGGTGGTGAGGCTACTGCTTGACAAGGGCGCCGACGTCAACGCGCAAAGCTGGACCTACGACAAAGCACTCTATGTGGCTTCATCTAGGGGCCACAAGGCAGTGGTGAAGCTGCTGCTCGACAGGGGCGCTGACGTTAACGCGTATGATGGAAATTACTGTAACGCACTCCAGGCGGCTTCAGCTGCAGGCCACGAGGTAGTGGTGCAGATGCTGCTCGACAAGGGCGCCAACGTTAATGCGCAGGATAAATACTACGCTAACGCACTCTATGCGGCTTCAGATAGAGGCCACAAGGTGGTGGTAAAGATGCTGCTCAATAAGGGCGCCGACGTCAACGCGCAAGGTGGACACTACGGAAACGCACTCCAGGCGGCTTCAGATAGAGGCCACGAAGCAGTGGTAAAGCTGCTGCTCGACGAGGGTGCCTACGTCAATAAACGGAGCTGGACTTACGACAACGCACTCTATGCAGCTTCAAAGAGAGGCCATGAGGCGGTGGTGAAGATGCTGCTCGACAAGGGCGCTGACGTGAACGCGCACAGCGGGAATTACGGCAACGCACTTCATGCTGCTTCAACTGCAGGCCACGAGGCGGTGGTGAGGCTGCTTCTTGACAAGGGGGCTAACGTCAAAGCGCAGAGCTGGAACCACGGCAACGCACTCCAAGCAGCTTCATCTGCAGGCTACAAGACGATAGTCAAGCTGCTTCTCGACAAGGGCACCAGCGTGAACATGCGGGGTGGACACTACGGCAGCGCAATCCAGGCGGCTTCAGCTGCAGGCCACGAGGCGGTGGTGAAGCTGCTGCTCGACAAGGGTGCCTACATCAACGCGCAGGGTGGACACTATGGCAACGCACTCCAGGCGGCTTCAGCTGCAGGCTGCAAGGCGGTGGTAAAGCTGCTGCTCGACAAGGGCGCCGCCAATGCGCAGGGTGGATACTACGGCAACGCACTCCAGGCGGCTTCAGCTGCAGGCCACGAGGTAGTGGTGAAGCTGCTGCTCGACAAGGGCGCCAATGTCAACGCGCAGGGTGGACACTACGGCAGCGCAATCCAGGCGGCTTCAGCTGCAGGCCACGAGGCGGTGGTGAAGCTGCTGCTCGACAAGGGCGCCAATGTCAACGCGCAGGGTGGACGCTACGGCAACGCACTCCAGGCGGCTTCAGAAGGAGGCCGCGAGGCAGTGGTAAAGCTGCTGCTCGACAAGGGCGCCGCCAATGCGCAGGGTGGATACTACTACGGCAGCGCACTTCAGGCGGCTTCAGCTAGGGGCCACGAGGCCGTGGCAAAGCTGCTGCTCGACAAGGGCGCCGCCATATAATAATAGAGCACGGAAGGTTTCCTAAGGACAAGACATATCGTAACATGCTATAAGTAATTTACTCCTCTATTTAAGTTCAAGCGACCTGCGAAGCTGATTGCCGTTGCGGTTTCGATACTTAACGTGTTCAATCAGTAAGTGGTCCACCCCATCAAACCTGACGCGCCTCTCCACATAATAGCTCCACAACAACAAAAGATAATAGAGTTATAGTTTATAATTAAGTAGTGTATTACTGTCTACATTGAGTCCTTGTATTTCCTTAGATATAACACTTTGTACACGTTGGTGGTGCGCGCAGACGTCCCTAGGTTGTCTGTGCCTGGTCACTCTCCATGACTACTCTATCCGCCTCTGCAGCGAGCTGCTAACCATGCTAGACCTATAGAACTCCCCTACGGGATATATACTAACGCTACTTGTCCTTTCTCTGTCTACGGCGATAGTTAAGAGCCCGTAGCTTACTATTCTCCTTGTCAGATAATAGCACTGTTGAAGATGAGAGCGTATAGACGCCGGGTTAGACTACCGTCCGTGCGCATGAAATGAGCCGGGTCGTGTTTCGAGCCACCCAACAACATCAGAATATCACAAAGATAAGGCTGTAGAGCCACCCACAATAGCTATTATCACGAGATTTTGTGGTGTTGTAGTAATTATATCATTGCGATGAACTTGCGCTACTTATATTTACTCGGTACCTTGGTGGTGCGGCCCTGGCGGGTGGTTTGAGTCGGGATAATAGATGTAGCCACCTCGGCTTGTACACGAGGTGCACCATCACCAACACCTTTTTGACGCTTCTGCTTTTGAGTAGAGCTTTGTGAGGCCTTACGCTTGCCGTTTTGGGGTTGTTGTATAGCTTTTTGAGAGTCGCGAGCTGCTTTTCGACGCTCTTTTTCAGCCTTCTCGGCAGCCCGCTCCTTCTCCCGCACCTCCTTGAGTCTCTCTTTCTCAACATGCTTTTGCTCGGCCTCCTGAAGCTTGTAGAGTCGAGATTGTTCCTTCAGGTATCTTGCCTCTGCTTTTTGTGCTTTTTCAAGCTGTTGTTGTTGTTGTCGAGCCGCTTCATCGTCCCGAGCCTGACGGACCTTCTTGGGAGACCAGAAGACGGCTCCACCATGATACTCATGAGGCTTGTTAAGTTGTAGGGTGTAGGACTTCTTTTCCCGTCTCTTTTTGATGCCCATAGCAGCCCTCAGCCCCTTTACTTCCCCCCTAAGGAGGCTTGCTTGGGCAGAGATGTGATGGAGACTTCGGCGAAGCTTTTTGACGTCCTTATTGCTTTGATCTTTCACTGTACGTCGTATAATAGACTCTAATTTGAGCCAATCGTCTCCAGAGAGGCAGGAAGATGAGCTCTCATCTGAATTGTAGCCCGCCTTGGCGAATCTTTTGAGTATAACCTCGGCATTAGGGGGGTGAATACCTATAGCTTCAAAGGACTTTGTAATCGTTTGAGGCCTAAAAGCAGTACACCAGGCGTTCCAAAAGAGGTGAAAGAAGTCTCCTTTTACTATTGAGAGTAGCCCCTGGCTGTCCTGAAGGTACTTCGTGAGCTCATTTAAGTAGGCGTCCGAGAGAGGCTTGAACAACGATACATCCAGGGGTTGAAGCGTGTGGGTAGCGTGAGGGGGAAAGACGGCGAGGAGTATCTTGTTGTCGTTGCAGAAATTGATAAAGTCCATAGTAGCATGAGATCCATGGCTATCAAGGATAAGTAATCGGTACCCAGTGACTCCTGAACGCCTCGTCTCCCTTATAAACACCTCCTTGAGCCAGGCAAGCCCTATATCGTTGTTCGTCCAGCCCGAAGGAGACGAGGATACGAAGACGGAGTGCTTTCCAGCTTCAATAGCATCAACCCATGATGATTGTAGGGTCCCGGCGTCCGATTGGAAGATGAGGGATGGACTCAAAGCTGTACCATCGGCGCAAACGCAAGCTAACACAGTAATCCATTGAGTATTGCTATCTTGAAGGCATGCCCTAACCCCCTTTTAATCATATAACACCTTGTCGAACACGCGTTTTAATCGCCCAAGGCTTCCAATTTGAAACCCCTTTTCATCCATATTGTAGATCTGAGTAGGTTGCACCCTATACTCCATCATTTTGGCATGCAGAAGCTCAAAGTACAAGCTGTATTTAGCCCCTGAATCAGCTTTGTGACGTTTGCGGTCCATCCCAGAGGTGTAGCGCGATGTGAGTTCAAATGGGTGCCTGGCCATAAACCGAGTAACCCAGGTTTCCAGACTTTCCAAAAAGCAAGTTGACTTGGATTACTTGCTTGACTTGCTTGGTTTAAACCAAGCAAGCAAGTCAAGTAAGAGCTGGGCAGCTAAGCAAGCAAGTCAAGTCAAGATACTTTGCTTGCTTGGCTTACTTGGTTTACTTGGTTGTTTTAGCGTTACTGTGATGAGGGTGCTAAAACTGCTGTACGGTAGATGTCGCGATGGTTTTGAAGTGTTGCAGTTGCCTCGGTTGAGTCCCAAACAGGCTAAGCGGCTATCAAATAACGTTAGCCTTAGTCTAGCGCATTGCTCCAATCTCGACGTACGCCTGTCTAGAAGCCTATCGCAATGCAGTATCCCCTATAGCAACGCGTTTTCCAGTGATTTATACTGCCCTGATACCCCCAATATGGCCAAACGTCGCCTACCACAAACTTCTGCTCGGAGCAAACGTACGAAAGTAGCCGCTGCCACCAACAACGTCGCCTCAACTCCTGAGGCTTCACCTGAGCCTGCATCTAAGCCTGCATCTAAGCCTAGACCTCAGCGTCGATCACCTCGCAAAACCCTAGCTGCCGCAAGCCAGGCTAACGCCTCGCCGCCAATACCTACCTTCGAGTTGCAGTTCTTAGAGTCGCAGGCGGAGGCTGAGATTGTCGCGCCCACCGAGGGCAGCCGAGCTGGCACGGTGGCTACAACTGAGGCTGGAGAGGGTGGTCAGGATGAGACAAACAGCGCACTAGTTGAGAACTTTGACGGCATTGACTGGGCACGTTTACCTGATTTTATCAAGCCATTGGCGCGTTCTAAGCGCCCAAAAAGTTGGATCTTTCAGTATGGCTACCGCGTTGTTGAGCGCCATGCTACATCTCGAATCTGGTTTGTGTGCAAGTACTGCCATGTACACAAAACTATCGACGCTGGCCGTGGTGGTTTGTTTAACATTACTCAGGCTACAACCTCAGCAGCCACCCATCTCAGCCAACCAAAGCCTGGCCACAACCTTACGAAAGATGGCCCAAAGTTAGCGCAGAGAGCTCGAGGCCAGCTGTCGTTGCGGCAAGCTTTTGACGCTGGTTTAGACGTACAACAAAACACTGCTAACGCGTTTGGAAACTTCGACGTAGAGGGCTTTCGAACAGCCACTGTCATGTGGCTTGTTAACCGAAACCACCCGCTCAGCGAACTTACGACGCCTGATTTTAGAGAGATGATGAGATTTGCCAACCCAGAGGCAGAGGCAGCGTTGTGGGTAAGTAATACCAGCGTTTCTACCTTTGTGATGAGGTTGTTCCGGTCTATACGACCGCAAGTTATCGACACCCTGTCAGGCTCAGTAAGCAAAATACACGTAAGCTTTGATGGCTGGACAACAAAGGGTGGTAAACGTGGCTTCTTTGGAGTAGTCGCTCACTTTGCCGACGCAGCTGGAATAATACGAGACTTACCAATCGATCTGCCTGAGCTCGCTGGCGCCCACACCGGTGAGGCTATTGCCAAAGCTATCTCGACGACGCTCTCAGCATACGGAATAACAAGCGACCGATTAGGCTATTTTGTACTCGACAACGCTACCAACAACGACACTGCGATCGCCGCGCTCGCGCGCGAGTACGAATTTGAGTCCGCTCACCGGCGCCTCCGCTGCAGTTGTCACACGCTTAACCTCATCGGCCAGGCTATTATATTTGGCACCAACAAAGACGCCTACGGCAACACTCAAGAGCAGTACAATACCGAGGAGCAGTATATGCGAGAGTGGCGGAAAGATGGCCCTATTGGAGTGCTAGTTGACGTCATCAACTATATCAAAACGCCGCAACAGTACGAGCTTTTTCGTGGCTACCAGCGCCTTGCCAACAACAACCTGCCTGCTGAAGGGCGTCTCAAAGTACTCGAGCCAGTCAAGCCTGTCGTCACTCGCTGGAACTCATACTATGCTGCTTTTGAGCGCGCTACCAAGCTTCAAGCCGCGTATAACTTGTACGCTGAGCATCATATCAATAGGGTTATCCTTGAAGATGCGCACGCTGCGCAGCGGAATAATAAGCGGCCCGACGCCCCAAACTGGATGAGATCAACTGGGCTCCGAGCTGCTGACTGGGCGGTGATTGCAGAGTACCAGGACTGCTTAGAGCCGCTCAAGTACGCCACAAAACGCCTCGAGGGACGCTCTAAGGATGGCAAATACGGCGCAATCTATGAGGTTATACCCGTTTTTGAGTACGTACTCAGCAAGCTTGAGGCCCGGGCGCGCCCGTTCGAGCACGTCGACTTCAACGCTCATGCCGAGGCTCCAGAGGATCACCTCAACGTCAACCTCCGCGCCGCGTGGAGCAAAGCCAACGACTACTACAACAAGCTCGACGACTCGCCCGCTTACTACGCCGCTGTTTGCCTACACCCGTACTACAAGAACTACTGCGATGTGGCGTGGGCAGACAAAGCTGATTGGCTTACTAGTGCCAACGCGTCGTTCCAACAGCTTTGGGCGGCATACAAACCTCAACGAGCACGCCAGCGGTATACAACTGCGCCGAGTAGCAACAACATAGACGAGGCAATTATTGCTATACTTAGCCGCAACAATGACCGAGAGGCTCCACTTGACGAGTTTGAGCGCTGGAAAACACAAGAGCCGCAGTGGACGCAGGAGCAGTACAACGCAGATGGAAATCCTGTCCAATACTGGATACAACTACTGCCGAAATACCCGCATTTAGCGCAGTTTGCAATCGATATCATGACTATCCCAGCATCAAGCAGCGACTGTGAGCGCCTCTTCAGTGAGCTTGGCGACCTTCTTGAACCTAAACGACGTGCTCTGGGCAGTGAGCTACTCGCAGCTCTTCAATTAGTAAGGTCATGGGTGCGAGCTGGTTATAAACCGTACAACTGTAGCGAGGCTAAGCTTTCAGATGAGCAGCTTGTAGGAGATTACAACATACTAGAGTGGAACACTGAGTTTTGGTAATTTGTATGTAGCTTAATCTCTTTGTAGTAGTCAAGTAATCCAAGTACTTGCAAGTAATACAAGCAAGTCAAGCAAGTAAAAAAATCACCCCAAGCAAGTCAAGTAAAGCCTATGTTTGAACCAAGCAAGTCAAGTTTAGAGCGGTGACTTGCTTTACTTGCTTGTTGGAAAGTCTGCAGGTTTCTGAGACGTCCTTTCCAGCCAAAGATGACGCGAAATTGCGTATCATTGTCCTCGTAGGTGGCAAACGTCGCTCGGAGAGCCCCTTGATGTACTGTACAAGCTCCTTCTCCTGTTGTGGGTGTAGCGCGTTATGCGCAACGCTGTGCGGCCTTGTTCGACCTTGGTGTCTTCGGGCGAGCGTAGCCCGGCTTATATTATACTTTTTTGCAACTTCGCGATAACTAAACGATGCGCCTTCTTCACGCGAATCGATGTCTTCAATCGCTTTCTGAATCGGGTCCATGGTGGTGGAGTTATGATGCGTTTTGTATGGGTGGTTGGAGTTGAGGGGTGGCTCAAAACACGACCCGGCTCATTTCATGCGCACGGACGGTAGCGCGACCCGGCTCATTTCATGCGCACGGACGGTAGCGCGACCCGGCATCTGTGAGAGCCAATCGGATCACAGGAAGGCTTGGCACCCCCTAGGTGTGCCCCCAACCGTAGACAGAACCACAACACAATCAATCATCAATATTATCATCATCATTACCTATTTCATCAGTATTCCAGATAAGAGTGAATATCTGACACTCCTCTATAAGTATTATTACTAACTATATGTAAGGAGTATTCGAACAGGCACTAAGATGTAGGTATAGGCTTGTATTAAGACGAATCCTTAAGGAGCAATCAAGGATTCAGTGAGATGCTATATACGACTATGGCACGTGACTGTGGCTGGCTCGGGCCGATGGGTCTTTGAAGGGGTCCCTGAGGCCTACCGAAGTATGACCCAGCTGGAGTATCGTGACAAGCAAGCCGAGCCGGGAATCCTTACGCGTTAAGGTTAAGGATATGCTGAACAATCACATCCTCCTCTATTTTAAGGAGCTTTATTGAGTTAGGCGTGCAATCGCGTCGATAAGTTGTTCTAGTAAGTTAATTACTAAGTGTCACTTAAGAGACGTTATAGTGTCAGGTTTAAGGCTTGAAATCTGGTCGAGGTAAGGTTGAGTTGAGAAGAGCCTGACGCCAAGAGCGCAAGGGCCAATCCTACCACCTCAAATTCTACCACCATAGCCATGTTACAAGTAACAGGAAGGATTCTCTCCTTGATGGTGGGCGCAAGGTTGAAGGTCAACAAGCCTACGTCAGAAGGTAACGATCGGCGCGGGGCGCGCAGATCACGTGACTGACATCCCGCCAAGACCAACCATCCGAGGGATGGCAGGGCGCCTAGGGATGGCAGCCATCACGAACATCATTGACATCCCAGGGATGTAAGGGATAGTCGGGATGGCACTCGACAAAGCAACAAGTATATAGTTGTGGAGGATTCCCTTAATACACTCGTTGTAGTCAACTTCAAATAGTTCATCTCTTACCTAGATTGATACTAGTTATTGTATCGTTTATATAGAATTGGATTGTTCTTCCAAATACCTACTATCCCACCTAGTCGCCAGACAACCCACGCGGAACCAACAACATAAGACTCACCTGCCTTAGTGCGGACCAGGAAAGAGCAGTATAACCCCTCCGCGTAACAAAGAGGTTCATCTTTACGTCGTTAGACGACTACAAGATAAGGGGGTGTGTAACAGTTATAAGAAGAAGCAGATCACGTGTTAGTAGTCTAGTGCTGCTTTCTCTCTTTATTAAGCACCTCTTACCTTAGCTGTATTATAGATACGTCATGTAAACAGACCCTGCTGCTGCCTTCGTAAAAGGCGAGCAGACACAACACTACAAGACAATATACACAATATACTCTGATTACTGCCTTGCGCGGTTACACTTTAATTAACTGCATATACTGCAATAAAAGAGCTAAGGCGTCTATTGCGTCCTTACACCCTTTTAGGCCCCGAAACCTTGTATCACGGGACCAAACAGTAGTTGCAAGGTAAGAAGGTAGCTGTAGTGTAAAGGTCTATGTACAAGAGCGCGGGGAGGATATTGTCAGATTAGATGAGATATTGCACAAAAGTGATGGATGTTGACGATTGATTGTTGTCTGCGTTCTGTGTCCTGGGTTGCGTCTGGTTCATTTGAGGGGGTGCCAAGGCTCTCTCGGCTCTGATTGGCTGTTCCCGTTGCCCCTCATTATGTATGGCCTCTGACTTATGCGCACCCTTCTATTTGACAAAATATTCCATCTAGGTGGAAATACTGAGACTTCTGGCAAAAAAAAGCAAAAACATACAACAGCGGGGATTCGCTAGTGGTCACCCACCTAACTACTAATCCGCCGGTACACTGCTTATATATGGCTGAGCGGACGGGAAGCCTAGTTTCCTCCCTCGCGACTGCCACAAAAACCCTTAATTTTCCCGTAAACGGTAATCTGGGCGGTGCAATTGTCCGTAAAGTGGTCCTAAATACGGTTTATTAGTTGCTGTTAGTGCGAGGCTGTGCAGTAAGCGCTAAGCCAGAATAACTTCACCTAGAACAAGGCTGAGCGCGCTAAATATATTGGCAGCGACCTCGGGACGATCTTGGGATGTAAGTGTTACGATCACAGGAAGGGGGTCGCAAAGTGACAGGTTGACGTTGAAGGCGGGGCACGGCAAGTGGGCTGTGTGACGCAACCACGTGACCTGCCCTCCAGGCTTGGCGTTACCCTCCACTGTATCCATGGACGGTGTCGACCGCCACGGAGGGCATGGAGGGCGAGCCTACAATGGAGGGCACAGTTACTATATAGCAGTACGCAATGTGCCCTTATGACTCATTGTGTTCAACTTGATTAGTATCTCCAATACTGTTGAGAATATCTGGGTTCAGTCCAGGGTAGAAGGTGCTTGAGAGTCACATGATATGCTGGTGTGGCAGGCACTGCCCGGTGGGCAATAGCACCCACAACAACAGCCCAAGTCTGTGACACCGGACAACATAGTAGTCAATACAATACGTTGCAGCCACCCCGCCTTGTCCCTCTCACTCGGTTATCCACAGTAGTCATACTACTAGAGGGACCTTGTTCCAATAAATACTAGCATTGATTCTCAACCACCGTATATTACATCGATCTACTAATCGTGCTATACACCCCTCGTGTCTATCGCACTCACTCTTCTCTCGAGAACCAACCCTAGATCAGTTAGCTTTACTAAGGGAAGCTTTCAGTTCTTCACAGTAAGCTGCGAGGACGAGTCCATAGGTAGGACTTGTCTAAGCGCCCGCGACGAACACGTAGGTGGCCGTAACGCTCCGTCACAACGAAGCAACGAAGACGAGACTACTACCTCTTGGGTTTCTAGGTGCTGCTTAGAAATCCGCGATCCGTCCATTGTAAAGGGCTGAAGCCATATAGATATTTTCGGCTAAAGCCTCATTGCAAACATCATAGACGCTAGCGCGTCAGTCGTTAAGCGTAGATTTTGGAACGTTATACGCTAACGCAGCGCGTCTAGAGCCTTTTAACTGCTGCGCATTAAGAGAAGAGGAGGCAAGGAAGATATCATCTTTGTTATAAGATGATAGAGCACGTCGTGGTAGAGCCATTGAGATGCGTAGCTTTGGGGGTGATCAAGGTTGGTGGGGTGGCCGACTCGCTTGTATGGCCGACTCGCTTGTAAAACACGTTACCGAGAAAGAAAAGACTCCCAGTGTTGGATTACAGATGTCAATCGCGGGCCGCGTCGGTCCTACTTCGGTCTAACTCGTGTCAACCCCACGTATAGCTTCATAGCAACCTATGTATCAAATCAATTAACCATCACCAAACAGAATGCATTCCTAGTTACTGTTAGAACAAGGTCTCCTCTGGTGGTATGACTACCATAGGCGACCGAGTAGAGGTACGAAAGGTAACCCTGTATTGGATTGAACTTCACTAAGAGCTATTGTTCTATCTACTTGTTGTTATGATGATCTTAGGACGTACATGACAGATCATCATTCCGCGTCGGTCCTTCTGCTCGGGCTTACTCCACGAACCTCACCTCGCCGACCTGGACTGAACCTAACATATTCTTAACAGTTACGTTATTTCCTCTTCGCACTTAGTGCAAAGCCCTACCAACAACGTTAGCCTTAACTCAATCACTATAGAAATATCGTAAAGCGCGCCTCACTTTATCCGTACTTTGAATAGGTCGCATCGTACTAATTTCGTCCAGGACCCGGGCCGTGCTCGAATCAAGCGAATAGGGTCATATAAGAGCGGTTCAGTGGGATACTTGAAATCTTCTGGATTCACCCAGCAATCACTTCCAGGGATGTTAGACGAGGAGCAGTCAAGAGTGGCTCGGGCATGTGACGAGTGTCGCCGACGGAAGCGGAAGTGTGACGGCAGTAGCCCTTCGTGCGCTTCTTGTGCTATTAGGGGCATCATATGTTTTTACACAACCGATAAGCAACCTAGAAAGTAAGACCTAATGTCCTCGCAACAAATACAGCCACTAAACAAATTTTCCAGGCGCAAGAGGAATGATGAATACACCCTTAGGCTCGAGGAGCAAATACAAGTACTTACAGCGAAGCTGCAAGCTTTAGAAGAGCAACGAGGTGCTGATTCTTCGGCTCGGGGAGATGCATCGACTGCTCGCAGCCCTATTACAAACCCATCTGGCGAACTGGCATCCAATGATTGGGGAGATTTTGAGATGCATTCCGCACCGGCAATAGGGGAGATCAGCCAGCTTATGTGGAGGATGAAGCTCGGAACCGATGGCGATGTCTCATTTATAGGGCCTTCCACGAACTTCCATCTTTCGCAAAACGTAGAGGACAATGCAGAAGGCCCGCTAATCACAGTCCGCAACAATCAATTAAGTGGGTCCTAGAAGGTTCAGATTGGATTGATTGATTACCGCTTTAAGCCTAGTAGTTACCTATAGGAGTTTAAGCCCTACCTAGATAGGTAAGTGGGTCTAGGAGAGTGACCGGATTGAATTGATTGTTGCGGAGTCTACCGCTAATTCCGCCAATTAGTGCTTACATAGCGAGCGCGCCAGATTCGAATCGCGACACTTACCTCTACGATTCGAATCTTCATCTACGCTTGTTCAGCATCTTTGTCGAAGACCTCAACAAGCAGTACGATTTCATTGATCCATCTCGTCTAGACGAGGTGATCTCGCCTTATAACCCGCATAATACTTCTCCTCTATCCTTGCTACAAAGCGCCATCTTCGCAACGGCATCGTGCTTCTTGGAAGACGCTGAGGCTATTGACATCGGGAAGGTGTTTGCGACCCAGGCTGAAAAGATATTACAGCAATGCTATCGAGCTTATCCAGGTGTTGTAGTGGTCGAGACTCTCTTGATTCTTGGCTGGAGAGAACTGACATTAGACAACGATAACATGGCGTGGATGTACAATTGTATGCGCCCAAATGCGTAGGGTTCTTGGATATCACTAATCCTCTTAGGCATGTGCAGTGGTCTGACAACGCATCTTGGTCTACATGCGGTAACACTGCAGGATAATGCTAGTACCCCGTCCAAAAGACAATCCTCTCGAATCATAGCGTTTTGGCGAAGCTTTTGGTTCGATAGGTAAGACGTCGCCCTACTTTATCCTACACATCTAGTCAAGAGCTGATTCGTTCAGGATTGCAACCTTCAGCCTAGGGAGGCACTGCGTTATTCCTGTAAAACGCATTAGGACTCGTTTCCCAAAGTCGACATATCCGTCTAGTATGAGCTTGTCGCAGCTTGTATTCGATCACGAATGTCGCTTTCTGATGATCTTCGACACTTTCATGGAACAAATGTGAGTGATTCCTCTATCATCAGCCCGCCCGTTACTCACAAACGGCGCACAGATATTCCTTTGACTTTTACGAAATGGAAGAGGGAAAAGAAGACAGCTACTGCTTGATGCCCGTGACGAGATACTTCGTTTGTATCAAGGCATGGATATTCTCATCGCGCGCCCGATCCGTAGCAGCAGCAGCAGCATTCTCACACTCCACATGCTCCATCACATGGGTCTACTCCTCGTCCAAAGACCGTTTCTCAGAGAAGATACCACCAGCGGCCTATATCGTATGGCGATCCGCTCTATGTATGAATCCGCCGTGTCTATAAACAATCTGGCGCGCAACTACCGAACTACGACCGGGTTTGCAAAAGCGACAGTGGTACACATGCAATGCATACTCACTGCAGCTCTTATGCACTTACTAGGCGTTACTTCGTCAGATAAAACTGTTGAAAGAAGATCCATCACCCGATTTCGATTCTGTGTTGAAAGCCTCAAGGAGATGAAATCAATGAGATCAAGGTCGGCGAGAGCCATTTCACTGCTTCAGGAACTGGCAAATCGTTGGAAGGTCGTCCGTGCACTACCGCTGGAGCTGAGTTATCCTCTGGGTCAGGCTTTTAAGGATGGCAGTGCC